TGTCAGATCCAATTAACTCTTTTTTTTTTTTAAAGATTTTATTTATTTATTTGACAGAGAGAGACACAGCGAGAGAGGGAATACAAGCAGTGGGAGTGGGAGAGGGAGAAACAGGCTTCCGGCCGAGCAGAGAGCCCGATACGGGACTCGATTCCAGGACCTGGAATCATGACCTGAGCCAAAGGCAGATGCCTAACGACTGAGCCACCCAGGCACCCCTCCAATTAACTCTTAAACATCACTTTTTTCTCTTACTGTGCTGTTTCTTTTAAGAAAAAATTTTGTTCCGGGCGCCTGGGTGGCTCAAATGGTTAAGCGTCTGCCTTCGGCTCAGGTCATGATCCCAGGGTCCTGGGATCGAGTCCCGTATCGGGCTCCCTGCTCCTTGGGAGCCTGCTTCTCCCTCTGCCTCTCTCTCTCTCTCTCTGTCACGAATAAATAAATAAAATCTTTAAAAAAAAAAAAAAAGAAAAAATTTTGTTCCTGCCTATTTAAAATAATATTTCCCTGTTTGCATGGATTTTTTTTTCCTACTATTTGATCAATAACATCACTGGTGGGGGGAGCATTTAGCACTAAAGCTGTCAATCAAAATCAGCTGAGGATTTTGTTAAAATGCAGATTCTAATTCACTGTGTATAGGGAAGGGCCTGAGATTCTATTGTTCCAGCTAGCTCCCAAGTAATGCCAATGCTGCTTGCTGGTCAAAGCCCTCTTTTAGTACGGATTTAAAGAAAAATGGGAGGCCTTCTACACTGTCCTGTAGCCATCAGCACTGTACTTGTTAAAGATAAGAATGTCAATCTTAGCAAGGCAGTGCCACTTTATTGCCAGATTTGGGAGGCTGCATCCTGATGAAACTGTAATTTCATGTAATTCATGTCACACCATGAATATAAGCATAAATGACAATAGGCCCAGTAAATATGTAACCATCTTATATGGTCTTTTCTGTAAAAATATATGGATTTGCAGACTGTTTAGCACAAGCTTTCCAGAAACCACTACTTAAGAGAACGGAAGTTTCTGGCAGTGGACAAGAGGAAAAAAGGCTGAAAACTAACACAGCAATGCCAAAATGATCAGATATTCAGGGTCAGGCCAGGCCCAGCCTCAAATCAAAAGTATGCAGTGGAGGTACATTATATGCACATGTAACTTATAGACCAAGCCAACTTCTTCATCAAGGGCTTAACTAAAGAAAGAAGTGATCGAGGATTTCCTATTTTTTATAAGTGATTTCCTATTTTTGCCTTACACAACGACTTTACAACCTAATTCCCCATGCAAGATACAACCTCATAGCGCTACCGTCAGTAAAGCCTTGGGAGTCACTGTGTGTGCGTTATTACAGAGGACTGACGTGATGCACAACTACTGATGTACTTTCTAGCATAAGACTTCCACTTCTGGGTGGAGGGAGCCCATATATTACAAACCTAAAGTACCAGAAATACCTCGACCTTGACCCTTTTCTTCTAGAACATAGTTTCAACAACATGCCTATTCTCCTGGCCCAGGAGAGGCAGGAGGAGGAGAGCAGTCTCCCCTCTAACTTCTCATGGCAGTGACTCAAGCCCTGGGAATTAAAGCCTGGGAGGGTATCTATCCTGAGATTTCACAATCAGCACACTATTAGCACAAAAAAATTTCTGGAGCAACTTCACAGGACCCTTTGGTAAAATGACTCTAAATTTGTAATGAAATCAAATCAAATTCAAAACTAGGAATGACACTTCATCAAAATCAGAAACAAAAAGACTCACAACAGGAATGGATAGCCAATGAGCTAGCTCACATAACTCGAGGGTACAGATGTCTTGTTGAATAGAAAGTAACAGTTGTACAATAATCAAAGTTCTCCCTCAAAATATATGTCTGACTCCTCCCAACCTCAAACCATGTAATATATTTAGCCCAGATAATCCTTGTTCAAATCTCTTATCAATTTAGTGCAGTTTTGTCTCAGGTATAACTCTAACCCTTTTCAATCTTTTTGCTTTTATGTCTTTAAATTGACTGTTTAAATATGACTTTTTAAAAACACAATTAAATTGACCTCTGTAAATACACTTTAATAGCCACATTAGGTAAAGCAAGCTACATGAACAACAAGAATATCTCTAAGAAACAGTATTATAGACGTGCAAAATGACACTCTTGGTCAGCATTTTAAAATTTCAACACCGCATAGTCATTTAGAAAAATCAATACAGCATAGTCTAATCTTGGACATAATTCTCTCATAAAACTGTAAAGAAAGATAATTTTTTTTACTCTTTCCTAAAAAAACTATAAAATGATGATAAATCTTACTCTTTTTAGAACATGACATGGACTCTAAAGGGCATGAAAAAAATGGTTCATGGTGTAATGTTAGGAAAACCTGTAAGAGGAGTGCCTGGGCGACTCGGTTAAACATGCGACTCTTGATTTTGGCTCAGGTCATGATCTCAGGGTGGTGAGATCGAGCCCCATGATGAAACTCATGCTGGGCATGGAGTCTGCTTAAGATTCTCTCGCTTCCCCTCCCCACCCCGGCTTGTGCTCTCTTACACTCTCCCTCTCTCTCAAAAAAACCCCAACCAACTGTAAGATGTAAAATGGTATGTGTGTATATTATGATCTCAATTCTTGAAAAATACAAGCACACAATGAGATACTACTTCTTACCCATTAGAATGGCTAGAATCAAAAAAACAGAAAACAGTAAGTGTTGGCGTAGATGTGGAAAACAGTATGATGGTTCCTCAAAAAATTAAATACTGAATTAAATATTGAATTTGATCTAGTAATTCCATTTTTTGGTATATACCCAAAAGAACTGAAAGCAAAGACTTTAACAGATATTTGTATATCCATGTTCAAGTAGCATTATTTACAATAGCTAAAATGCCCATGTGCAGATGAATGGATAAACAAAATGTGTTATATATATACAGTGAAATATTATTCAGCTTTAAAGAGGAAAGTTCTGATACATGCTACAACATGGATGAATCTTGGAGAGAGTGAAATAAGCCAGTCACAAAAGAACAAATATTGTGATTCTACTTATATGAGATACCTAGAGTGGTCAAATTCACAGAGACAGAGAGTAGAACAGTGGTTACCAGGGGATGGGGGAAATAGGGAGTTATTTAATGGTTACATCGTTTCAGTGTGGGATGACAAAAAAGTTCTGGAGACAGTGGTGATGGTTTTTCAGCAATGTGAATGTACTTAATGTCACTGAACTATATATACTTAAAAATGGTTAAAATGGTAAATTTTATGTCAGTATATTTTACCACATTAAAATATATATATATATTTTAAAGATTTTATTTCTTTATTTGACAGAGAGAGACACAGCAAGAGAGGGAACGGAAGCAGGGGGAGTGGGAGAGGGAGAAGCAGGCCTCCTACTGGGCAGGGAGCCCGATGTGAGGCTTGATCCCAGGACCTTGGGATCATGACCTGGGCCGAAGGCAGACGCTTAATGACTAAGCCACCCAGGTGCCCCTAAAAATATTTTTAATATATGCATACACACATACATATAGGTAAGTATATATGTGTATGAAGGGAATAAATTAAGCCTGTATTAGTGCTTATATTTGAGTGGTAGAGTTACAGAAAATTTAAATTTTATTCTTTATACTATTTGGAGTCTTTAAAAATCCTACAGTGAAAATTTAATAAAAATCAAGGAAAAAATAATTTAAAAACTGAATATGGCATGGAATTGGAGGCCCTTATCCACCTTAGTGTAGGGATCAGTTCTCCACAATGTCTTTGGGGAAGGAAGAGGGAACTACTTGGTCTCACATATAGGAGTTACAAACCATCTTTACTTGAAACCCACTTCTCAATGAGAACCTTCATAGGTATTCTTTCAAAAGCATAATGTGGGATCTATACTTTGGCTAAGATACTTCTCAGTGGATTCATGGAAAAATATTAGTGGTATGGAGACTAGGCTAGAAGACAATCTGAGACAGCATCCTTCTCAACCACGTACCTCCCCTTTCCCCTATAAGCCTAGCATGTCACATTAAAAATAAAAGGGTTGGGGTGCCTGGGTGCACAGCCAGTGAGTTAAGTGTCAGACTCTTGGTTCTGGCTCAGGTCATGATCTCATGGTGGTCATGGGATTGAGCCCCACAACAGGCTCCATGCTGAGTGCGGAGTCTGCTTCAGATTCTTTTTCCTTCCTCCTCTTCCCCTCCCTACTCACATGCTCTCTTTCTCTAAGAAATAAAATCTTGAAAAAACAAAAGGGTCACGGAATTAAAAATTAAAGTTTAGAAAGACATGAATCCTTGAGGTCATTTTCCAATGACACAAGATAAAACAGAATTATCCAAAGAAAAGTAATAAGGGCGGTTATCTTGTTTTCTTTCATTTACTTAAAAGGTTAAACCAGATACTTATAATAAATTTGAGTAAGGAATATTTATGAAAATTTAAAAAAATCTTTTTCAGGACAGTTTTGTGAAAATACGTAACATTATGCCTCGTCAAGACTATTTTATGTGACAAAGCACAAGACTATATACCTAAATTAAATCTTCCATTGTTTAACAAAATCAATAACGTTCACTCAAAGACAGTTTCATGACAGCTTGAAGGTCACTTTATCAGAAAACAATTTTTTGAGTAAAATTCTAAGGCCTTCATATTTGAAAGTGCCCTTCCTTAGTAATAACACACATTAAATCAGGAGGGAGAAAAAAGTGACAGGCAGTATCCTAATTATCCTAAAGAGTAAAACAGAGAAAACTTCCTGCTTTGTGTGTTGCCACCACTGAAAGGACACTGTCCTAGCCTAACTCGGGCTGTTGTTACTTTATATCTAGAACTGAGAGAGGACTGTTTTCTGACTCTGCCATGCTGTCCACAGTCTGTTTTGTAGGACCACCACTTCCACATTAACCTCCCTCAAGTACCACTTTGACCACGCCTTTCAGCAGTTCAAACCCCTTCGTAAGCACCTTTCTTCTTACTGTATGAATTATAAACTTCTTGCCCTGGCATTTAAGGCTTTCCAAAACTTGGCTCAAATATAAATTTTATGTTCCAACTTATAACAAAGCTATGTGCTGTTCACTAGAAATGTACTGTCCTTTTCTGCCTCCCTACCTCTGCTGGGATTAATTCTGATGATAGACCAAACAAGTACTCATTAAGAATTTACTGAATGAATGTTCTGATGATTGCAACATTAGTTTCTCTGAGCCTCAGGCATATAATTTTGTGGTTCACTAATAGTTAACAGGTCTTGCAAATCCTAATGTCTGTCAAGAATTATCCACTAGACAAATGCAATTTCCAAGTCCTATAGAGAACCATGACATGATCTAAGACACATAAGGAAAAAGATAAAATTTTCAGTCACAATTATTTGTATACCATAAATAAAATTTTTAGAAAATAAAAAAATAAAATATGGTAAAGCTAATACCATTAATTAAAATACAGGGGGCTATTAACATGCAAGAGGGTAACAAAGCAGCTGGCTCAGTACATGCTGAATACTGAAAAATGTTTGCTTCTTCTTCCTATTAGCCACTGTTTCTCAGCCAGGTTAGAACATTCTGTTACTTTGTATATAAGCAAAGACTATCTCAAGGCCAAATACACTTTTGCTTAAGGAGAAGAAAAATAACCATGCAAATATTTAACTTAGATGATGAAGTAACAAATGCCTAAAACAGTGTTGTTGTATGATTTTTGTAATTCCAACATTGATAACTAACTACTTCTATCACTTACATCAGGTGTAGACCATTTGGTAAAGAATGAACTCAGGCTCTGAAGACTGAGGGACCTGGGTTTGTATCTCAACTTACAAATTCTCACCATGCAACCATGAGTTTAACTCCTAGGAAACCAAGTTTCCTCATGCCAATTAAAAAAATATATATATTTCTGTTTCTTATGGCTCTGAGAATTAAATAAGAAAATATACGGCAAATGAGGGTATATGTCCAATGTATGTTCAATAAATGATAAATCACCTCCCTATTTCCCTGCACCACTTTTAAACAGGGATTTTCTGGAACCCTAATCTTTCGATCAAGAACTCTTGGACCAGAATGGACACTGTCTTCACTCACGGAAGTTTTAGAAGATAATTTTTTGAACGCTGTAACTGCATCTCAGCATTCCTCTCTAAAATATCAACCTATTTAACGGTTTATATTAAAAGTTACAGAAATTTTATTTGTGCAGTAAAGGGTGATACAGATATTGTTTGTGTGTGTGTGTGTGTGATTTCTGGTATTTTGGACTTTATTTGATGTATTCGAGAAGAGAGGAGATAGGTATGTAATTCTGGATCTATAAAACTTTGTTAGAAAAGAATACTTCCTCAATAGCTCCTATTTCATGAAAAGTATTTTCAGCAATTACAGCTGCTGCTTAAAAGAAAAAATATATATGCTGGACTCCGCAGGAACAACTTCAGTATGAGGAGCAAAGCAAGATTCATTCATCTCTTTGCCCCTCTAGTTCAAAAACCAGTTATAATCTAAAAGGGAACCTATTTTCAAATACCAACAGGCACAGAGCTCTAATTCTGAGTCAGCTTTTGTGTAATCAAAGCAAATTTTACAGTCACTATCCCCAAATGTTTTAATATATTAATGCATTCAATCTTCTTCATAAGCTTATAAGTAGGTACTATTATTATTCTGAGGAAATAGGCTTGAAGAAGTTTAAGTAACTTTTCCAAGTTACATAACTAGATAGTAGTGAAGCTGGGATACAAACCCGGGAAGTCAAATTTCAAAGCCTGCATTCTTAACCAATATGGTTAGTTGTTCTTAACCCTGATTCATCAGTCCCTTTTTATAGCATGATTTTGAGCCTCTATTACTATCCCAAGTAAAAATCAGATAATATAACCTACCCATAAAAAATTAATGTAATGTTCTAATTGTAATGAGATAAACCAGAATTTATAAAAAATGTATTTCACCATAAAAATAATTAAAATTATGATTTTAATTAGAAAATTTTAGGCACGACTACACTATTAGACTATCTACCTATCTATCTAATCCTTGAAATTCCCAAAATGTCTGAGGGTGGTATTGCCCTAATGAAGAATCACTACACTATTGTCCACTGACTTTCTACTGTCTTAGAGATCCTCTCTGTCAGAGTTGTGTTCTCTCACTTTTTTCCTTTAGATAAGCATATCGAGATCCCTCATTTTTATAAATAAACATAAAATTATGTCGAATCTCATTAAGACACTATACTGTTTAATCTCCACGAATGAGTCACAGGCACAAATAATTTTAAAAATTGCAACCTTCTCAGTAAGAACAGAACAAAGTTTTGCTCTAAAGAAACATCAATTAAATCTAGTTTCATCCACCACTTATCTTGCCAATTAAGTTCTTACCACTTATTTTAAGTTCAGAGGCTGATGATACACTCTTAGCCTTTTGAAGTTCTGAAGCTCTCCTCATTTAGTGACTAAAGTTCATTATGGGACAATCACACTTTCAGAAATAGTTTTAGAATTTGTTATAAAAACTCCATCAACACCTCAGATTACTCTGTTTACCAAGAGTCAGACATGACTGCCCTCCACCCACCCAGGTGTTCATGAAACAATAAAGGAGGGAGCCAAACCAAACCCCTTTCAAGCGCAGACCTGTTCTTTGCGACGCAGGCAGCTCACTGGCAGCAGGCAGTATACCTGTTGTTCCAGGAGGCAGCGCATAAGCTAAAGACGATGGTGGAGCTCCTGGTCCGCCGTGCTGGAAGGATGCTCCAGAGGAAGGGGGAGGAGGGAAAGAAGCAGCAGAGCTGGAGGTAGGTGGAGAGGCCTGGTGCTGTGTTGCATACAGCTGAGACTGCCCAGAATAGGAAGAAGCAGGAGATATGTAAGGGGTGTTAGGGTAAGCGTTTGAAGCAGAAGGAGCAACAGGCTGCTGAGGTCGATACATTGTTGACCCCCCTGTTCCGAAGGAATACTGCTGGGCTGGTTGATAAGCTACACCAAGGAGAAGAAACAGAAATTTTAATTAGTTATAAGTTTATTCAGACAGCAATAAAAAAACCCCAAAGTTATTTCATACTATGGAAATTATTTTCATCATTATTCTTATAACAATAAGCTACAACCAAATATTAACACTTCCATGTTACGCTTTTGATACCTTGGATACCCTTAAATAATACTAAGAGTCATTGGATCCAATATTTGAAATCTGCCATCTCCAGACTGCCGTTGGCTATGAAAATCTTTGAGGAACACCTGGGTGGCTCAGTCGGTTGAGCATCTGCCTTCGGCTCAGGTCATGATCTCAGGGTCCCGGGATGGAGCTCTGTATCGGGCACCCTGCTCAGTGGGGAGTCTGCTTCTCCCACTTATGCTGCCCCTCCCTCCCAACTTGTCCTCTCACTCTCACTCTAAGTAAATAAAATCTTAAAAAAAATCTTTGAATCATCAGACCCAAGAACTACAAGACTGACCCTTTCCTGCCCCGGGGAAAAGACTGCAGCGACACCTACTAGCCCCCAGATGGAACCACGCAGGAATTACATGTTCAAAGTACTTCCCCTTGCAGTAAATTATAGGGACTCTGGTGGTGGCTCAACATCTCTCCCACTGTAAGAATTGTAGGGTGAACACTATTGTTTTGAATCAAATACCTTCTCCAACATCTGGTAATATCATCAGCTACTCAAACTGTGATTTTGAGCATAGTTCCAGATTAAAAGCCAACTCTCTATGGTCCCTGACAAAATAATTACTATACAATATTTTATATACTGTGCACAGTTGGTTAGTAAGCCTTCAGGCAGCCAACTAACATTCTGATGCAAAGATCTGAACCCAAATTAGAGAATGCTATCACATTCTTCATGACCAGGGGTAGGTATGGACTTCTATAGAAAGAATCTAATAGGACTGTACTTATTTTGCTTGGAAGAGAGCACGAGTGAAAAATTGTGTCAAATCTGTATTCATGCTAAGTAAGAACATCCATTTTAGTACAGAACAGACTTATTAGGATTAGTTCTTACTAGGCAGTGGCCTCTTGCTTTTGTAATAGTTGTTTAGTCATATAATTTTCCCCTTGGAGAATTTTATTTTTTTGGTCAATTAAATTTTAAAATAGTGGTGATATTTTCTTTCTAAGTGCAAATGTTTTCTAAAAAACAAAAGCCAAAGGTGGGTACATGTCATTATTATATATCTGTCAAAATTCATAGAATGTTCAACACCAACAGTGTACCCTAAGTTAACTATGGACTTTGGGTGATAATGATGTGTCAGTGTAGGTTCATTAACTATAACAAATGGACCACTGGGGTGCAGATTGTTGATAGCAGAGGAGGTTGTGCATGGGGGCAGGGAGGATACTGGAACCTTCTATACTCTCCACTCAAATGTGCTATCTAAAACTGCTCTAAAATAAAGTCTGTTTCTTAAAAAGATGATATAAATGGAAAACAACAAAAACAAATGTCCCTGGGAACCATTTTTCCAAAAATGGTTTGTGTCATCTTGCTTAAAGGAAAGAATATGCAACCAAATCCTTTCAAAAATTCTGTTTTTTGTTCCTACCCAAATCATCGGACAATTCACTGTCCTTAGTAATCACTCAGGAACAGGAGCCAACTGTTCTGAATGGACTGGCACAGGAGCTGTTCCCTTGCATGCTGATTCAGGATGCTTCCTAGGGAAACCATGTCTTTCTCTCTCAAGTCCTACACAGAATGGTTCTTTCTTTACTTGTTAAAACTGATTTGATCATGGGTTTGGAGCTCCAAAGCGAATGGTTTTGCCATTAGAATAAGACATGTGGCTGCACTAAGGACTTCAGGGTTGCACTACTTACGCTGTGGCTGTGGATAAGGTGGTACCTGGGTGTGCATATGACCCGGAGAGGTGGGAAGCTGAGCTGTGGCAGCATTTGGGTTAACATTTCCATGCATTATGAAACCTGGAGGTGGAGGATTTTCTCCCTAGGGAATGAGAATATGATAAAAAGGAGGATTACATTTGGAACCAAGAATCTTACCCAGATGGATTTATAATCTCTGAAATGGAATTGTGTTTATTTTTCTAAAAAAAAGAAAAAAAATTTACTGTGTAAGAAACACTGCATTTTGCACATTCTATCTTCGTTAGAACACATTCTCTGAGCAACACATTCTAAGTGATTTAAAGATTAAACAGGTCCAAAGTAATAAATGCAATGAATTGCAACAGATGCTAATAACTTCATAAAATAGTGTCAGTGATATTCATACTAAGTCACCAGGATTTTCCATCTCTACTAAATTCCATCCACTACTCCACACTTTGGAAATATAAGCATAAATGCCACAAGGAAACTTTCACTTCTCTTCAATTTCTGCAATACTCAAAAAACAAAGAAAGAAAAAAGAAAATCTTCAGTGAAATCAGATTTAAACCACTAGAACTTTAGTTGATATTTTTCTAGCTGAGGTCAATTTAGAACTGCAAAAGGAGAGGGATAAGAAAATAAACGAATTGTCCTAAAAACTGCTTCTTGCATCCTAAAGCATTAAAATGCAATAAGCAGGCAGACAGATGGGGGGAGGAGAACTTAAGAAAAGCGGTGGGGGGGGCGGGTAGAGAATATTTAACTATATATATTTAGGTGAGCGGAATTCTGCTCAAAGATGAATAATGAAGGATATACCTGTGTGTCAGAGGGAGAGGCTGCAGGTGGATGGCTGGGAAGGGCGGTAGGAGTTTTGTTACTCCAGGTAGTGACAGTAGGGGCAATTCTAACCTGAATTGAACAAAGAAATACCAATCACAGAAAATAAAAAATAAAAAGGTTAAAAGAAGAAAAAAAAAACCCAAAAGGCAATAACAGCTGGATGCAAAGCAAAAAGTAAGAACAGCAAGATACTATATGTTAGTCAGGCAATCGCTTTCAAGGTAGCTGGGATTCCAAAGGAAAAGCACACATTCACAATGAAACAGAGGGAGGGAGGCAGGAGAAAAATCAATATGAAAACCTAAATCAAAGCATAAAAAACAATGCCATTCAACTGTCAAGAATAAGGGGAAAAAGCTAGTTCCTGTAAGTAGGTAAAGAAAGAAGACGCTGGGGGGCGGGTAATTGAGTAAAAAAGTGATTTTGAAGCATTAATAGTATTCATGCTACTATTAGATCTGTAAATGTATTGCTATAAGCTCCCTTTTCTGGATTTTATTAGAACCACAAAAATCTTATTAGTCCCATATGAGGCTTAGAAACATACAATCAGAGAGTATTAGAGACCATCCAGTCTAATTCCCACATGTTACCATTGAGAAAACCAATGCCCAGAGAAATGAAGGGGCTTGCTGAGGTCCATACAACTAGCTGGTGACATTACTAGGACTGAAACAGGCCTCCTGATTCCCAGGCCAGTATTTGCTATACTATACCACGCTGCTTACTCTGGAGTCCTGAGATTTCCAAAAAAAACTTTTAAGCCATCAAAATCTTTTTTGTCAAGTAAACCTTCAAAGAAACCCTTCATTCAGCATGAGATAAGCTTTAATCAAGAAAATCACTACTTAATTTACTACTGAATTTGTTTTTCTTTTCTTAAAGGATGAGACTGCTAGGTCAAAGTATAACAAAAGTTTTCCAGTGTTTTTACATCTTCCCAGAAAGACAGATAAACCCAAGGACATAAAGAGTAAATATTTTCTTTTCCCAATATAGAGGGTGTCTCACTTCAGTACCGAGACAGTGTGATTGAACTAAAGGTGCTTGAAAGTTCTAACACCAAGTTGGCCATTAACTAGCCACACAATGCTAAGAAATTCAAGCTCTAAGTCTTAAAACTGGCTTGTCACTTGACCTCTCTGCCTCTCAGTTTTTCTAGCCATTGCCTGCTTTGCCCTACCTATGTCATAGGCTTTCTAAAACTAGTGCAATCTCCACAAGAGTGGGAAACTTAATCTGTTTTGTTTACCAATATACCAACAGGTAGAATAAAGACAGACATTCATAGTAAAGCTCTCAAAAAAATAATTGTCAAATAAAGGAAAAAACAAAACAGTTAAAATCAAATGTAATCTATTCTGATTAAGTATTAATCAAAAGTACAATAGACAAAAGCACACAAATTGATCTTTTTTTTTTAGTTTTCCATGACTTTATATTTACTTTTGCTGCAATGAAATATAAAAAAGGCCTTGTTGGGACACCTGGGTGGCTCAGTTGGTTAAGCGTCTGCCTCCAGCTCAGGTCATGATCCCAGGGTCCTGGGACTGAGTCCCACATCGGGCTCCCTGCTCAGCGGGAAGCCTGCTTCTCCCTCTGCCTCCCGCTCCCCCTGCTTGTATTCGCAAGCTCTCTTGCTCTCTCTCTCTCTCTCTCTGGCAAATAAATAAATAAAATCTTTAAAAAAAAAACTTATTAAAAAAAGGCGTCAATTCTATCAGTAATCTGTTGTATTTAATTTAATTAACTCATTTTTAAAATAATCTGTTGTATTTTAAAAAGGGCAGAGTACCTGCTAACTTTGTTATCAGTGAAGACCATTTTTTACTTATGAAAATGTACTTTCCATTTAAGAACATGAAGGCTATCTGCGGGTCCAGAAATATAGTTTTTACATAAAATAGTAAAAGACAGTAAGATGCCACATTTTATGCCACTAACTGTTTGGTAATTTTAGTTAATTAATTAAAAAATATTTAATCATCTTCATAATCCCCATGACCGATAACTTCATACACCTTTGATCATTCTCTAATATCCAAGTTGTCCAAAAAAAAGTGCATTCTAGGAGCGCCTGGGTGGTTCAGTTGGTTAAGTGTCTGCCTTTGGCTCAGGTCATAATCCTGGGGACCTGGGATCGAGCTCCGCATCGGGCTCCCTGCTTAGCGGGGAGTCTGCTTCTCCCTTTCTCTCCCCCTGCTGGTGCTCACTCCTTCTCTCTCTCTCCCTTTCTCTAATAAATAAATAAAATCTTTAGAAAAAAAAGTTTATTCTGTATACTCTTTATTGTGCTGATATAGAAGACACAGTAAACTTATAATAATGATTCAGAAGAGAATACTCAAAAAAAGAGTACTTTTTCTAAGAATATTTTATATTAACCAAATCACCCCAAAAATTGTTCCCACTACTTTACTTACAGTTTGTTGGATGAATCAAACTGCAGCAGTTTCAAGAACACATGTACATGTGTAAGGGAAGTATGAGTGATGAGAAATAAGAAGAAATCCCCCAGAGAGCTTAAATTAATTTATATTTAAAATATAATCTGTTTGCCTAGATTAAAGTGATCATTTAAAAAAAAAAAAACAGACCATAAATACCACTTCCAAGAATATAAAAAGAAAAACTACTAAAATAATATGTTGTCTAGTTTTATCATAGCAGATTAAGGTTTCCTACCTAATAAACTAAAACCACCAATTTGAATAGAAATATATAAATGTTCTACTTAATCCAGACCGTATCACTCACATGCGGATAATATTGTTGAGCTGGAACTCTTGGCATCTGTGAGTGGCCAGCCATTGGTCCAGGCCTGCCCTTGGGCAGCTGCTGCCTCTCATAAGGAATTTTAGGTGATTCCTGTCCTGGTACAGGCTGTCCTTGTGCTCTACAAAGTCTGTCACGAAGCTGCACAATATTTGGCTAAAATAAGTAATGGAAGAAAACAAAGCAAACTGTTAGCGTTCACCCGACTATATGATAGCATGTAGCTTTTCTTCAAGTAAGCTTGATCGGTCATATGCTCCTTGTTTATATGCTGTTTCCTATATAACAGACCCTGGCACATGAGGGTTTCACATCATGGATTCTGATACTCAAGACTGATACCAAAGGTCCAAGATACATAGTGTGACTTGGAATTTAACTGAGACAGGGATTGGAATTACATGCACTACATAGTAATATGTAAGATGAGTGTCACTTATCATCTCTGCTCTTTTATATTTTCTTGTAGTTGAGTAATGCTCACAAATCATAAAAGTGTTAAAAAAAATACAACTTTTTCTTTATAGGGAAATAAGGCCCCCCAAAAGAATCAACTGCTAAAGATGGTGATGGAAGAAAATGGTGATCTGAGAAAGAGAGGAAAATTAATAAAAAAAAAAAGATGTTGGAAATAAGTTAAAAGAGTAAGATGTCACACTCACAGTAGCTTATGCAGATTTATAATTATACAGATCTACAAAAAGTGTGAGTTGACCACATACACGTTCTAGGTATTAACAAACAACAAAAAATTAATGTTAAAATATTTCAGCAAGAACTGATTTTAATATCTTTAAAAATCATATATTTCTATAAATTCATTAAAGGTTTAAAGCTGTCATTTAAACTTTAAGGTATACTTTACTGCCTATTAGGGAGGAAGATTAGATACTATAATGTTATCACAAAGTCTCAGAACATATTCCCCAGAAAATACTAAGGGTCTACTGAGATACATAGAAGACAGCAACTTCAAAATTGTTTATTATTACATAAAGAACGTTCTTTAAAAGTCCAAAGAAAACATGAAGAATGATGTATAGAAAATGTATGTTGTTATAAATGGTATTGAAAATAAAAAGTTTAATACTAAGGCTAGAAGATCTAAAGGTTTTAGATTAAGTTATTCTTAAAATAAAGGGTCTTATAACTTAATAATGGGATCTTATTAAGTAAAAAGGCATAAAGCTATTTTGCCAAAGTCATCATAAAGCCTATGTTTCTATTCTACCTAATATTCTCATAAAGATATAACATATAAGTATGTTCAAAACCAACTAGTCATACCTCCATAATCCTGGAACACAGATGTAAGTATTTTTACTCAATGAAATTACTCAAGGAAATTTATTGATAATTCCCTAGAACAGACAAAATACTGAAAACATTTAACTAAAAAAATTCATTAAAACAAAATAAAGTTAATAATAAAAAGTATAGAAATAAGAAAATATCTTCAAGGCTCAAAATTAAGCTGTCAGACACACAATATAGATATAAACATCCTACTTGTGGAAAACTGTCCTCAAATCCCACCCTAATTTCCACCCATGCTCTATTATTAAATTTAGGTTGCCCTCTTCTGTGCTTCCACAGCCCTACTACCTCTCTCACAGTATGTATCACTTTTGGAATTGTATGTTTACTTGTCTATATTCAGTTTGAGTTTGGAAACTCCCTCAGGAAAAGAATCCTGGCAATTGTGTCCATCACTATTTAGTCAGTCACTTACTGAATTCCACTGCATTGAAAAAGCCCATTTTAATGGACACCAAATAAGGACACTAAATTAGAAATATAATTCTCTTTGCTTTCAGTACTTTAAAAATATACTTGCCCTGGGGCACCTGGGTGGCTCAGTTGGTTAAGCGTTCGACTCTTGATTTCAGCTCAAGTCATTATCTCAGGGTTGTGGGTTGGAGCCCCATGTTGGGCTCCACACTGGGCATGGAGCCTGCTTAGGATTCTCTCTCTACCTCTCCCTATGCCTCTCCCTGCCCCCGCCCCCCACGTCCCCAGAAAATAGCAGACTGGAATGGTATATAAAATGAACTTCTTCACTAGTATCTATGTCTGGGGTGGCATTTTAAAACCACAACCCCATATGTTTGGTTAAGTATTAAATATTTATACCTTTTCACCACAGAAGATTCCTACAAAGAACCTTGTACGAAGAATCAGCATTTGGCTTAAGAAACAAAAAGTTGGTCCTTTCCCCATTTATTTTCCTCAAATACTATGCCCCTCAGTAGAAAGGGATCTATCATACAACCAGAGTATCCTATCTCTCTGATACAGTCTGGCTACACCTAAAATGATCCTTGAATAATTGTCAGTAATATTCACCTATACTCAGATGATAGAAATTCAACTGCTCTAAAACATTCTATCTACCAATATGTTTAATACTGAGTGCTACCTACTGGACTCACCTTTATTCACATATTAAAAGAAGAAAAATGGTCAATTCTAATTACCTGGTTGGTGTTTTCAGGAAGAAAAGCCAAGGCTGCAGCAATACTGCCTTGGGCTGCCAACAAATTGGCATACTGACTCATCTTCTCGGCCAAAAGAACTCCTACAGTATTGGTGTCCATGGCTTGGGTGAGTTGTACAGCTTTTCGCAGGATGACAACTTTCTCAATAAGATCCTAAATAAGAAAAAGAAGGGAGAGAGAAGGAGAACCAGACAAAGATACCAAGATGTATATGAAAGAAAGCAGGAAAAGATAAAGAGTTATGAAGGTTTCTAAAACCTACTAAAAGTACATCTTATTATTCTCTTTCTAAAAAACATCTGCAACAGCTGACCACAATTTAAGTAAACTGAAAAACAGTAAGGAGGAAGAAGGTCTCTTATTTATGGATAAGTCGTAGGTTACCACGTTCTAAATATCCTTAAACTGCCAGATACTTATGTTGTGAGCTAAAGTAGGCAAATATCCAAAGTGAAACTGATAGACAGATAGCCAAAGGCAGAAGCTGGGTTCCAGCAGGTATAAAACGAACTATGACTAAAAATACCATACTAGCTACACTATAAAAACAGTACTACTATGAGGTGACCTCCAATGAGCTTACCATTTCAACCCAAAGTTTCTCATGTTGCTCTTTGATACCAATTATTTCAATAATGGGGAGCTTCAAGTATAAAGCACAAGAATATCCCACCTATCTGTCCTTCAAAGGTACACAGATCCAGAAGTATCAAGCAAGTGTGCTTTTTCTCAGAAGCACTTAGAAGGAAAGCCTTGATTTCCCCCACCAGATTTTTAGTTTCAATAGAGGGATCTTTAAAGTAACAACTCTATTGAGAAAATCTCTTTCCAGAGAGAAAAAGAAATATACTTGAATGAAATATTATGAGACTCTGCTGATTAAATGCTTGGAAAAAAAGATCTAAATATATAGTTGCTCAGTGACTGAGAAGAGTCCCCATATTTTTACCCCTCTTGCCCAGGTTGTAGTGCTATATGGGATTCCATTTACCTCTTACTTTCATTTTCCCTTAACCATGAATATCTTAATCTATTCTCTATTGGTACTGGGGATGCCTCCCATTCCTTGCCCACATTGCTTCTTTCCTTGCCCAAGACAGATAAGAGTCACCAGAGGCAGTGAGAGAGAAGCATGAGGAGAAAGAATTAACTCTAGGGCTGTTTTCATGCTACTGCCATCTGTTTCCCCCAATAAACTACCAAATTATAACCTTGATTTCATAAACAGTTGCGACCCCATTTTACCTATTCCATCATTTCATACTTTGTCCCTCCAAATATAGCTACAAAGACACATAAATTATCCAGCAAAAGAACTTCTAAAACATAGATAACGAAGGTGAAAGCAATGAATTTCTGGAACGAATCAATTTCTAGAATATAAGTAGGGTGAAAGACAACACAAAGTTTCAAAGATACTAACCTGAAGGGACAAAGGACTGCTTCCATCTTGAGCTTTAGTCCAACATGCAACTAGTTTCTCTACATTCCCTGCACAGATATAGCAGAGACATGCTTGAGTCTGCAGGAGGCTATCACCTTCACTTTCAAGCCTGGTTCCCAAAAGATCTAAAGATCCAGAGGAAAACAAAATAAGATTATACTCAAAGCAATCTGTATATGAAATTGTAAGTAGGCCAATAATATTTTCAGAAGTATGAATTAAATTTCACAATCAATGAGCAGTAGATAAAAACAAAATCACTGTTATGTAAATGCTCAGTAAATATTTATTTGTTAAAAGAATGGAAGTGTGTAACTACCTGTATATAATAAACGGCTTGACAAGATTCTATATACCTAGCTAGAGAATGAACTTCCATTAATCATATTAAAAAATAATGGGAACAATATTTGAACAGAAAAATCCTAATGAACATTTTTTTTTAAATGGTATCTTTGTTCTCTTTTTTTTTTTTTAAAGATTTTATTTATTTATTTAATTGACAGAGAGAGACAGCGAGAGAGGGAACACAAGCAGGGGGAGTGGGAGAGGGAGAAGCAGGCTTCCCGCCGAGCAAGGAGCCCGATCCCACCACCCTGGGATCATGACCTGAGCCGAAGGCAGTCACTTAACCAACTGAGCCACCCAGGCGCCCCCTAATGAACATTTAACTCCATTTCATCGTATCTGATGTTTGTGTAAGTAGTAGACTACAATATGGCACATTTGGAATGAACATCAATGGTAGGCAGGACTACTATAAATTACTTACAATAATAAAGTTAATACCTTATAACTTTCATATTCTCGTAATGCTTTCAAGGTAGCAAATGGTTGGTTGTTCTTATACCAGCAGCCTAAAGCTTCTGTTCTTACAAATAAGGAGTATCATTCCTTAGCCACCAGTCTAGTCATGGCCTTTAATGGTAATTTGTAATTTCCATTCAAATGCTATAATTACTAATTTTATTAAGCTAATATTTTATTTATTTGACAGAGAGAGAGAGCACAAGCAGGGAGAGCAGCAGAGGTAAAGGGAGAAGCAGACTTCCCACTGAGCAGGGAGCCCAAAGTGGGGCTCGATCCCAGGACCCCAGGATCATGACCAAGCAGAAGGCAAGCACTTAAATGACTGAGCCACCCAGATGCCCCTATCAAGCTAATATTTATTAAGTGAAAGCTGCAATTTTACAAATAATAAACTAAGGCTTAGAAAGTAATCTTTCCTAGGTCAGACAGCTAGTAAGTGGCAGAGGCAAGATTCTAACTCTGGTCCGCCTGAAACCAAAATCATTAAAAATAATGACTAGGTATGGAGAAATAATGTAGTTAATAATTCTGAGAAAAGCATTCAAATGAGAACTTCTTTTTCTTATGGAGTGATTAGTTGGTTTGCAAAAATTTCTAATAGTACCTCTCAGTAATTTTATTTAAAATATGCTATGCCATATATATAATATAAATACAACTATAAGGCTCATTTTCTTACCACAAAGGGCTGAAAATTCATCTGGTTTAGCATAAGTCAATACTGCAGCTAAAGCCTCTCTCCAATTTTTAAGGTCACAAGACTCAACAATTTCTTTCCAGTTCTTCATCACCACTGCAGTAATTAGCTTAAGAAAGGAAAATAAAGGGAGAATTAAAAGCCTCTGGTCTATTAGTAAAAATTAACTCTGGCTAATCAGTCATATCATTCAAAACAACTATTCAAAGTATTTCATGCAGAATAAAGCAGCAGCAAAGTGAAGTATATCCTTGAACCAACTGACATAAAAGATGGTTATTATTTTTCCTCAAACAACATCAAACAAACGTATTTTATAAATAGGCTGGGAAGGAAAAGTATAGGGTGTTATCAAAACATTTAACAGGGAAACATGACCTGGTCTGATGAGTACATGTGAGATAGGAAGTCAGAATTAACTTCCTCAAGAAAAAAACAGGTCAGGAAACAGGAAGATGGCAGAGGAGTAGAAGGACTCTAGGCTTACCTTGTCCTGTGAATACAACTAGGTAACTATCCAATTATCTTAAATACCCCAGAAGTCGAAAATGAGTCAAGGAACTCACTCTCTCTCTCTCTCTCTCTCTCACACACACACACACACACAGGATATAAAATATAATAACATATATAAACAATGGGGAGGAGAGGATAAAAGAATGAGTTCAAACAAACTAACATCAACTTCATACAGACTGCTATATGCAGAAGAGGCTAAACACAAACCTAATGGTAACGCTAGATCAAAAACCACTAAAAAACATGCAAGGAATAAAAAGAAAGAAATCCAAATATATCACTAAAAAAAATCAGCAAAATGTGAAAAAAAAGACAAGAAAGGATCAGAGAAAATCTCCAGGAACAACCACAAAACAAGTAATAAAATGGCAATACATATCTATCAATAATTATTTTGAATGTAAATGGACTAAACACCTCAATTAAAAGGCATGGGGTGTCAGAATGGATAAAAAAACAAGACCCATCTATATGCTGCTTATAAGAGACTCATTTTAGACCAAAAGACACCTACAGATTGAAAGTGAGGGGGTGGAGAAACATTTGTCACACAAATGGACATCAAGAGGAAGTTGGAATAGCAATATCAGACTAGACTTTAAAACAAAGATTGTAACAAGAGACAAAGGAGGACACTATATAATAATAAAGAGGACAATCCAACAAGAAGATAAAATAATTGTAAATATTTATGCACCCAACTTGGGAGTGCCCAAATATATAAAACAATTAATAACAAACACAAAAGGAGTAATTGATAATAACACAAAAATAGTAGTTAATAACCCACTCACATCAATGGACAGATCTAAACAGAAAATCAACAAGGAAACAACAGCTTTGAATGACACACTGGATCAGATGGACTTAACAGATGTATTCAGAACATTCCATCCTAAAACAGCAGAATACACATTCTTTTCAAGTGCACACGGAACATTCTCCAGAATTGGTCATATATTAGGTTACAAAACAGGCCTCAACAAATATAAAAAGAATGAAGTCATACTATGCACCTTTTCCGACCACAATGCTATTAAACTGGAAGTCAGCCACAAGAAAAAAATCTGGAAAGGTCACAAATACATGGGGGTTAAATAACATGCTACTGAACAATGAATGGGTCAAATAGGAAATAAAAAAAAGAAATAAAAAAAGTACAGGGAAACAAATGAAGATGAAAACACAATGGTCCAAAACCTCTGGGATGCAGCAAAGTGGTTCTAAGAGGGAAATACGGGCCTACCTCAAGAAGCAAGAAAAATCTCAAATAAGCAACCTAAACTTACACTAAAAGAAGCTAGAAAAAGAACAACAAATGAAGCCTAAAGCCAGCAGAAGGAAGGAAATAATAAAGATTAGAGCAGAAATAAATGATATAGAAACTAAAAAAGCAATAGAACAGATCAATGAAACCAGGAGTTGGTTCTTTTGAAAACATTAATAAAACTGATAAACTTTTTTTTTTTTTAAAGATTTTATTTATTTATTTGACAGAGAGAGACACAGAGAGAGAGGGAACACAAGCAGGGGGAGTGGGAGAGGGAGAAGCAGGCTTCCTGCTGAGCAGGGAGCCTGATGCGGGGCTTGATCCCAGGACCCTGGGATCATGACCTGAATTGAAGGCAGACACAACGATTGAGCCACCCACGTGCCCCAAAACTGATAAACTTCTAGCAAGACTTATCAAAAAGAAAAGAGAAAGGACCCAAATAAATAAAATCACAAATGAGAGAGGAGAAGTAACAACCAACACCACAGAAATACAAGAAATTATAAGAGAATATTATGAGAAACTATATGCCAACAAATTGGACAACCTAGAAGAAATAGGTAAACTCCTAGAAACATAAATTACCAAAACTGAAAAAGGAAGAAATAGAAAATAGGAAATTTGAACAGACCAATAACCAGCAATGAAACAGATTCAGTAAGCAAAAAACTCCCAAAAAACAAAAGTCCAGGACCAGATGGCTTAATAGGCAAATTCTACCAAACATTTAAAGAAGAGTTAATATCTATTCTTCTCAAACTTCCAAAAAATAGAAAAGAAAACTTCGAAATTCATTCCATGAGGACAGCATTACCCTGATACCAAAACCAGATAAAGATACCAGAAAAAAGAACTATAGGTGCGCCCGGGTGGCTCAGTTGGTTGAGCATCTGGCTCTTGGTTTCAGCTCAGGTCGTGATCTCAGGGTTGTGAGATCGGGCCCCACATAGAGCTCTGTGCTCAGCGCAGAGTCTGATTGTCCCTCTCCTTCTGCTCCTCCTCCCACTCACACACTCTCTCTCTCAAAAAAATAATAAATAAAATCTTTAAAAAAAAAAAACTACAGGCCAGTATCTCTGATGAACATAGATGCAAAAAAAATCTTCAACAGAATACTAGCAAACTGAATCCAACAATACATTAAAAAAAAATCATTCATCATGATCAAATAGGATTTATTCCTGGTTGCAAGGGTGGCTCAATATTTGCAAATTAATCAATATGATACATCACATCAGTAAGGGAAAGGATAAGAACCATATGATCCTTTCAGTAGATGCAGAAAAAAGCATTTGACAAGGTATATCCATTCATCATAAAAACCCTCAGTAAAGTAGGTTTAGAGGGAACACATCTCAACATAATAAAGGCCATATGTGAAAACTCACAAGTAATATCATCCTAAATGGAGAAAAACTGAGGGCGTTTCCTCTATGGTCAGGAACAAGACAAGGATGTCCACTCCCACCACTTTTATTCATTATAGTACTGGATGTCCTAGCCTCAGCAATCAGACAACAAAAAGAAATAAAAGCCATCCAAATTGGCAAAGAAGAAGTCAAACTTTCACTATTTGCAGATGACATGATCCTCTATGCAGAAAACCCAAAGATTCCACCAAAAAATTGCTAGAACTGATACAGGAATTTAGTAAAGCCACAGGATACAAAATCAAGGTACAGAAATCTGTTGCACTTCTATACACCAATAATGAGGGAGTAGAAAGAGAAATTAAGGAATCAATTCCATTCACAACTACACCAAAAATAGTAAGATACCTAGGAATAAACCTAACCAAAGAGGTAAAAGACCTGTACTCTGAAAACTATAAAACAGTGATGAAAGAAATCGAAGATGACACAAAGAAATGGGAAGATATTCCATGTTCATGGATTGGAAGAACAAATATTGTTAAAATGTCTGTGCTACCCAAAGCAATCTATACATTTAACATAATCCCTATCAAAATACCAACAGTCTTTTCCACAGAGCTAGAACAATAATCCTAAAATTTGTATGGAACCACAAAAGACCCTGAATAGCCAAAGCAATCTTGAAAAAGAAAAGCAAAGCTGGAGGCATCACAATTCCGGACTTCAAGGTATATTACAGAGCTGTAGTCATCAAGACAGCATGGTACTGGCATAAAAACAGATATATAGATCAATAGAACAGAAAATCCAGAAATGAACCTACAACTATATGGTCAATCAATCTTCGACAAAGCAGGAAAGAATATCCAATGGCAAAAAAAAGTCTCTTCAACAAATGATGTTGGGAAAATTGGACAGCAACATGCAAAAGAATAAACTGGACCACTTTTTTACACCATACACAAAAATAAATTCAAAATGGATGAAAGACCTAAATATAAGACAAGAATCCATAAAAATCCTAGGGAAGAACACAGGCTGTAACCTTTCTGACATAGGCTGTAGCAACTTCTTTCTAGATATGTCTCCTGAGGCAAGGGAAACAAAAGCAAAAATAACTATTAGGACTTCATCAAAATAAAAACCTTCTGCACAGCGAAGGACAATCAACAAAACTAAAAGGCAACCATGGAATGGGAGAAGATACTTGCAAATGACATATCTGATAAAGGGTTAGTATCCAAAATATATAAAGAACTGATATAGCTCAACCTCCCCCAAATAATCCAATTAAAAAATGGGCAGAAGACATGAATAGACATTTTTCCAAAGAAGATAGATGGCTAACAGACACATGAAAAGATGCTCAACATCACTTAACATTAGGGAAATACAAATCAAAACTACAATGAGATATCACCTCACACCTGTCAGAACGGCCAAAATTAACAACACAGGAAACAACAGATGTTGGCAAGGATGTAGAAAAAGGGGAACCCTCATGCACTGTTGGTAGGAATGCAAGCTGGTGCAGCTACTGTGGAAAACAGAAGGGTGGTTCCTCAGAAAGTTAAAAATAGAACTAGCCTATGATCCAGCAATTGCACTACTAGGTATTTACCTAAAAGATACAAAAATACTGATTTGAAGGGATAAATGCATCCTGATGTTTTTAGCAGCATTATCAACAATCGCCAAATTATGGAAAGAGCCCAAATTGTCCACTGACTGATGAATGGATAAAGAAGAGGTGGTATATACAGACAATGGAATATTACTGAGCCATAAAAAAAGAATGAAATCTTGCCATGTGCAATGATGTGGATGGAGCTAAAGAGTATTATGTTAAGCAAAATAAGTCAGAGAAAGACAAATACCATATGATTTCACTCATATGTGGAATTTAAGAAACAAGACAAATAAACAAAGGGGAAAAAGAGGGGCAAACCAAGGAAGAAACTCTTAACTATAGAGAACAAACTGATGGTTACCAGAAGGAAGGTGGATGAAATAGGTGATGGGGATTAAGGAGAACACCAGGTATTGTATGGAAGTGCTGAAATCACTAAATTGTACACCTGAAACTACTATTATGCTGTATGTTAACTAACTTGAATTTAAATTAAAACAAAAAAAAAGAAAAGAAAAAAAAAACCCACAACATTCCAGGTCAAGGGAACACGAGGTGCAAAGTCCCAAGGGAGAAAGGCACATAGAGTGTCTGAGGAACTGAAAGGCAGCCAGTGTGGCTGAAAGATAAAAGGGAGGGAGTGACATGAGATAAGGCAGGGGAGACTGACAGCAACCAATGCTGATAGGACTGAACACTGAGACAACTTTTATGGAAAGAAATTTAGTAACATTAAGCAGGGCCTTAAAAATATTCAGACTCTCTGCACCAAAAATTCCTTTCCTAGGACTTACAGCCTCGTTAAATAATTAGAAATCACATAAAATCCTTGGGCACAACAAAGATGTTTATCACTATCTTATCTGTATTAGGAAAATATTAGAAACTGCCTAAACACCTCAATAGTAAGAGAAATAATATATCCTTACCATAAAACATTATAGAGCAATTAAAAATTTTTGTAAGACTCTTTAATGAAATGGTAAACCATTTACAATGTAAGTGGCAATATCTATAAGCAAAACTACATGCATATATACATATATATGGGCCTGATTCTGTTTTTAAAAATTCTACAAATACATATAAAGAGGTACAAAGGGTATGTACCAATTTGATGGAAGAATCAGAATTTTAAAATTAATATTTTTATCTTTATATTTTTCTATATTCTAACTTTTCTACAATAAAAAAATGAAAAGTACTTTTCATTAAGAAAGTTATATACACAAAGTACAAAAAATAAAAATAATAACAGTGCCAAACTATCGACAATAACTATTTCTGGTTCAAGGAATTATGACTGGGTTTTTTGTTCTTTACTGTTTTTTGCATTTCAGTTATCTTTAGTAAGACGGTATCGCTTTTATAAGTGTTATAACAGGTAAATGTTACAGTTTATCTATTTTTAAAATAACATACCCTGGTAATTTTGCTTTGGGATTTTGCAAAATACTTTTTCTGCGTTTGAGCCAAGAGTTCTTGTCCACCTGCTATGGCCAATATAATGGCATCAGCCATACGGTTATCATGTAAACAAAGGTCAACGGCACTCTCAAAGTTACCCGTCAGCAAAGCCTGAGTAATTAAACCATCAATATCTGCAATGAGGAATAATACATCCAAGTTAAATAAAGTTTTTGTTACAAGAAAAAAATCCTATACATATCAATTTTTACATGTACCCACAAAGGAAAAAACAATGCTAACTTCTGAATATTACTAGTGGATTAATTTCTAACACAAGTTTTTGAGGTCTATGGAAATATACTGAGATGCATGTAAGTAAAATCAGGTAAAATAACACATCTTTCAGATTCTTTAAACTGGAGTAATAGAGATTGTTATACAGTTTTTTATCACAGAGATGTCAGAACATACCACTATCTCCAAGAGACCGATTACATATACTAAATAACTGAGTTCTTCTTTTCAACCCTCTACCACTTGCGACAAAACATTTGTAACCTAAACTTAGGGACTATTTGCTTTCAAATAGCTAAAAATCAAAATGAAAAAATTACCGCCACTGATGGAGATGTTAAATGTTCCTCCTGCTGATGGTAGAAATTCAGATTCTTGTTTTCCCTCTTTAATGCACTAAAGAGATGGAAAGGACAGCAATTTAGCCAGAATGAAACTGGAATAATTTACTGGCAAAACAAGATTTATATATGATTATTCACCTACTAACTAGATAACATGCCAAGTATTCCAGAAAAGTTCTCAGATCCAAGACTTTCCTAAGTATTAACTCCCATTATACAATCATAAATAAAATACAAGGTTATCAGGAATAATGTTTTTTGTTTTTTTTTTTAAAGATTTTATTTATTTATTTGACAGAGAGAGACATAGCGAGAGCAGGAACACAAGCAGGGGGAATGGGAGAGGGAGAAGCAGGCTTCCTGCAGAGCAGGGAGCCCGATGTGGGACTCGATCCCAGGATCCTGGGATCATGACCTGAGCCGAAGGCCGTCGCTTAATGACTGAGCCACCCAGGCGCCCAATCAGGAATAATGTTAAAAAAAAAACCTTAAGGGTACATAATCTATTACTGGTAGCTCAGAAATTACTGAAGAATCTTTGTTTTCTTAGATACTTCAAATAAGAATAGCCTGAAACATGCAAAATACACGTTTTTAATTTTACTGTATTTAGATTTTAAAACAACCCTGCTGCTGTACATCTAAAATTTTCTACATGTCTAGGGCGCCTGGGTGGCTCAGTTGGTTAAGTGACTGCCTTCGGCTCAGTCATGATCCTGGAGTCCCAGGATCGAGTCCCGCATCGGGCTCCCTGCTCAGCAGGGAGTCTGCTTCTCCCTCTGACCCTACCCCCTCTCATGTGCTCTCTCTCGCTCATTCTCTCTCTCAAATAAAATCTTAAAAAAATAAAATAAAATTTTCTACATGTCTAAAAATTTCTGTCCGATCATTAGGTTTAGTAATAAGGTCTTTTTATTTTAATTGAACCAGTCTTGAAAAAAAAAATCACCTGGTGCCCTTGTACAAATGCTACAGAAAAGACTATATGAATCTACTCAAATTCAATTGCAGATTTTGTATTCTCTTAAATTAGTCATACCTGCAATAGCAGGTTGGTCTGGTAAAAAGATACACAGTTCTGTTATAAACTCCTGAGACTACCTGTAAGACTGAGTAAACTCCTGAGACTACCTGTAAGACTGAGTAAAAAGAAACATAAGGAAGGCATATTGCTGGTAAATAGTTTAAATGCTTTCTATGTATAAAAATTCACAAGAAGACAAAAATAAATTGTATCAGAGATGACAGAGAAATTCTGAAAGAAAAACATAGTTGTCTTGCATGAGATAAAATACCTATCTTCTGTGATTGCATTACCTACACATCTGAATGTGAGTGCCTAGTGTTCAAAGTCAGGGGCATTTTTGGATTGGGGAATTTTAGTGCAGGGCACAACATAGCATCATCTGTAAATAATGCTTAATTAGTTAATACTATTACAGGAGAATAACCATAACCTTAATTCTTTCCCTAACCAAAGAGAAGCATTTTAGAACTTTAAAAGCTCAAATAAATTTTAGAGCTTAAGTTATTCACATTAATAAATAAATCAGATACTGATCTGATTATATTCACTTACTAAAAAACCTTTTCTTTTTTTTTAACTCAATTTTTCAAATTTGTCTTTGAAGAAACAATTAATAAACCCTCATTCATGGACTTCTGAAATACAAGGCTGAAAAAAACAGCTTATTACACATTGAGTATTTTCAGTGTATAAACTACTATATCTGATAAATAGCATCATCAAGGTAAAGGGGAAGATTTTACCACCCTAAACAAAATTTTTTTAAATACTCTGAAAGTACACATTGGTGACTATCATTTTGTTAAGTACATATTATTCTGATCTATTGATTCATAGGTGTATTTCCAAATGGTCCTCTATTTGATAATACATAGTTAATCTAGTTGTACATAGATGAAAGTACATTCCTTCAATGTATCCTACAATTCTGAATAGGTATTACCAAAATCAGTTCAAATTTTTACAAAGATTTTACTCATAGTCTTTATTCTCAGGTTAAATAAATGTTAGATCTACTTCTATGGGAAGTGTTTTTTAATAATTATCTTGTAAAAGTCTGAATTTACTGATGAATTATTCTTATAACTTAGCTAAGGATTGTAAGAAACATTCTATAGTTAGGGTATCTCCATATCAGAAAGAACAATGAAAAAGCCAAAGATGAGATGAGAAACAAGAACTTGTTGATTAATTTTCCAAGATGAAATATAACTAGAAAGCAAGAAAAGTACAGAATTATTTAGTAATGGTTAAAAAAAAACCCAGAAAAACAAAAGGAAAAAAATTAATGATACAACTCTGTGTTCAAGGACTCTTTTTAACGGGTTATAAAAATGGTCAACTACAACTCGTGACACATTTATCATGACAATCAATAAATCATGACAGTTTATTTAGTGAAAAATTCTAGACCTGGATTCAAAGTTCAAGACTAATCTAGAAGCCTCTGCCACTGATAGCAGGCCCTAAATATTAATGTGTCAAGAAAAAACATTAACTTTACATGCAATGTATTGTGGATTCTGAGTAAGATCTCTTTTCATTTTGACATGCTGATATCCATCTGACCAAATTAAGTCAATCTCATGTCAACTGTTAATTTTAAAATATATAATCCTGAAGCTAGTTCAAAGAACTAAAGATTTCATAGATGATACTTCTGTCAAACAAGTAAACAGATTCCTACCCCAAAAATCTCTAAGAAAACAATATATTCCAACTTCATTTTGGAACAAGTAGTTATGCAAATTTTCCATATTTCAGTGTGAGATAAACAAATATCACATATTTTCCCAATGTAATTAAAAAGGAAAGAAATAAGTACCTCTCCCAAGAGCTGCTCTTCAGCAGCAGGGCTCTCCTCCCCATCACTCTGTGCTACTTGGTCAGAATCTTTAAGAGCCTTTGGTACACAAAACAATTACAAGAGAAGTTGAAGAATGCAGCATTAAATGAGTATTAGTGACGTAGAAAGACAAAAGACCCAACCAACAACATTCAGAGCTAGTTTAATCCTAAGAAGCAACACTAAGTAAACTGATTTGAGAAATACTATCAGAGGAAAAGCAAAGAGCCATTATTACTAAGACCTTCCTTTTTTTCCTACCAAATGTCCCCCAGGAACAAAGATCTTAACCTTAAGTATCTGAGCAGTCACTGATACTGTTTTTCCTCTTTTGCAAAATTCAAGTATCATCAAGAGAAAGGAATGAATACTCTCTACCAGTTAAATTTATACTATTTTAAAATGAGAATTCACGTATTAAAATATCTACAATCAGCATTTATTTTTACACTGTAAAGCAATAAAACAGACACATTTCTTAAATTATATTTCCTTCTGTGTTATAACCTAGACCAAATTTTGGAAGGTAGCTATTTTTAAAGGCCTTCTTACCACATCGGGTCCATCCACCTTGTTCAAGGCCAAAGCAATCTGAAATAAAAACAACAACTCACCTACTACATGGAATTCTATTTCAACGCATATAGCAAATGCTCACCTCTTTCTCCATTTTCACTGGCAAAAATCCACCAAATTTCAGATTGGGGATGGGGTGTTTAAGGAGAGAATAAAATCTGCTATTCAATCACAAACCTAACCTCAAAACAAGCATGTTTTCTTCTACTTTCCTTTAAATAACTATAATTAATTAAAAAAAATTTCTTCAAGTACACACTACCAAAAAGAACTGCTATTAGAAGTATTTTGACAATCAGATTCTTTTTCCTCATTTTTGCTATTAGGTATTTAGTAAAACTTTCATATTAACCTTTTACAAACCTGTAAAAGTTATAGCACCAAGAAGTTCAGACTAGTAATAAAATTAAATGTAAAAAAACTAAAGGAATGAGCAAAGACACACAGCCGATAAGCGGTGGGCCTGTGATGTGACATCTTCAATGTGCCTGGTACTGCTCAGAGTGTGCAGTATCTAAGCTGTACCTCGTATGTGGCAATCTTCAATGCTACAGAAAACTTCAGTCACTTTCAAAGAAAAAAGGGCTAATAATAATTACACAAAGAATCTAAAATACCTCCTTCAATGTTTCCAAAGTCAGAGAGGTTTTCGTGCTGTTCATGTCAATATTGTGGAATGAATAATAATGAAGCCCCTCTTTGAGAACAAAACTGTAAAACTGGAATATGACTTTCTCTTTTTAAAAGGGAATCTTTTTCTAAGTTAAAACATTAAGCGACTCAGTTGGACTTTTGTTTATTCAGGTTCAGTACAATAAATTGCCCTTGTTCCAAAATATTTATTAGCTATTTGTCAGCTGGACAAACTCCATACAGAGTTTGGGAATGTGGGCTAAAGGCATGAACAGCGAGGGTAGAAAACTGTGGTAATCTGAACCAGTACTCTATTTTTCATCACTTAAGCTGTAGTGAACACGGGATGGTCTCTAACAGTTCCCTCGTGTTCTTTTCCCCCAAGGCCATTGGTTACGCACCCTCTTAAAATCCAAGTGTTATTTCCAGTGTTTGAAGTTGATAGCCTCTTATCTTTCAAGACCCAATTCTACCTGATACGACACAGCTCTTTAAATCAAGTTTGGAGTCAAGGTGGTTCTGGCAGTTTTTAAATCCAGGTACAAGGTGGAATTACACATTTAATAATATGTATTTGGAATTCTGGCAACCAAACACAAATTCTTATTAAATATTTATTGAATGATTTGAGATTATCTGTATAGAAGTTTATAAGAACACTTAGGCTACATAAATATCTTACTTGCATAAGCACAGACTTTTAACTTTTGCAGAAATTTACCTTCTTTCCTAGGTCTTCTTTTCTGTATCCTAGAAGTTCAAGGTATTTTCCCCGAGAATCATCCTCAAAGTTCACCTTTAAAGAAGACATAATCTTGAAATACAGACCTGCCTTTAAATTTTTAATTACTTGATCAAATTCCAAGTAGAATTATTAAAAATTATCAAAAATAAAGTCTACTAAAGTCTACTGTTACCAACGAAAGCTTTCTATATCTATTACGTAGAAGGCCCAGTGTAAGAAAGCATCCCCAAAATAGTTTCCTTTAATAGGTTACTTCTTAAAATAGTAAGTATACTAGTAATTAATTAACCTTGTTGAATAAAGCTTACTTTTATTTTTTAAGTAAGCTCCATGCCTACTGTGGGGCTTGAACTTATGACCCCGAGATCAAGAGTCGAATGCTCTACTGACTGAGCCAGCCAGGCGCCCCAAAGCTTACTTTTAAACTATAATTTCTGTAAATACAAGCTAACTCATGTCCAGTGGTTATATGCATGCAAAACGTGACACTCTCTAGAACACTAAATGTCCTAAAACTCTTTCCCCAAATTAATAATTACAAAATATAAAATTCTATAATTTTATAATTTAACCTTATTGTATTTAAGCTCTCTTTGGAAAATTCAGTATCAAGAAACAGACATTCCAGTGGAGGAAAAATGACCAACCAGAAAACTCTTATTTCCTATTGTCATAAATGCAACTCAGTAAAAGGAAGGAGAAATGCCTCCAACCTCTCTCTCCTGTAACTCTTCCCTCTTTTCCCATTTTCCTTAATTGGATCTACTCAGAAATTAAATATTCTGTTACTATTATGTCATTTTTCACTTATTAAAAAAAGTACTTCATATTAGGCTCTTCAAAGCAGAGAGGGAAGAACTCTTGTCATAAAACTATGGTCATGTGCTCTTCATAAGGTTGCTTTAATGTCATCAGGAAGCTCCTGAAATCACAATCTTGCAATAATTTTTTCATAAGAACAGATTGAGAATATAATGGGAATAGTTAAATTTGCAGATAATGAAATTGTTTTAATCTCAACTTTACCTTCAAAAAGGACCATACATTTTTCTCAAACTCAGTCTGAGAAGCATCAATCTTTTTCTGACAATAACTGACAAATCCTTGTGACTGCACGACTTGCTGAAGTTGGTCTGATCGGCTGAGGAATTCTTTTTCTGTTACCACCTGACTGATGAACACATGGTGTTGCTGTTGCTGCTGCTCAGCTCCCTGCTGGGCTTGTACTCTGACATTCTCAAAGGTAACCAGTTTGCCTCCAAACTATGAAAGAAAAAATGAACAAAGTCAGTTTGAACCATGAGGAAAAGGCCGAAAAACCTGCTAATGGAAAGAACTATGGTCTCACTTTGGATCAAATTAGCTGATACGGTCTCCCATACTCCACAATCTGACCCCAGCCTTCGATCACTATTCTTCTTCATACCACCTACCTTCTAGATAAAATGTACTATTTACTGTGCCCCACAGTTTCTCACCTACTTGTTTTTACTAACTTTCACATACTCAACGTTACTTCTCTTTAAGGCCCGGGCAAATGCCACCTCTTCCACCTCGGACGCCCTCCATATATTATAGATTTCTTTTGATTCAACTACTAGCTTCTATTCATTTGCCTCACCTTCTGTTCTCGGCTCTAAGTTTTAAAGGGTGGCAGAATATGCCCCTCCAAAATGTGCCATTTGGCATAAGGATTATTTTGAGCTAAGGACTACTTGAAAAACAGCAGGAAAGAAGGGCACCCTGACCTCCTCTTTTCTTTCTGAAAGCAGGAGATGCAACTCCCATGTGATAGCTGCCCTCTCTATACCAGGCGGAAAGAAACATTCTTATCACCAGAGAAGAGAGAAATCTGTACAAACAGACCTTGTTAAATAACAATTACCTCCCTTTAGCCTCTCTAAATATTTTACTATTTAGATAATAAATAATACCACTACTTTTCCACAACTGCCGTTCTTTTTTCAACCTACTATATAAGCACTTAGATTTTGCCATTTGTTTGTATTTTCATTTCCCAATGGGGGCCCAGGTATACATAAAAATCTGTATGCTTTTCTCCTGTTAATTTGTCTTATATCAATTTAATTCTCAGGTCCAGGTGAAAACCCCAGGAGGACAGATGCAAAGTTCTGCCTCCCCTATACTTATAAGGATTGTGGCTCTGTATCTACTTTATTCTTTTATCTCCTACAGTACCCAATATCTTGTATATAGCAAGTAAACAGTTACTATCCGATTAATATATTTATACAAATAAATATAGGTAAAGAAGGAAACACAGGACCAAATCTGGTTCTTTATAATCAGTAATTTTTGTATAAGGATTACTGTTTTTATGTAAACTGAAATACCAACAAAACATAAACCACAATCCTTAAGGAATTTATTTATTTATTAAAAAGATTTTATTTATTTATTTGACAGAGAGAGACACAGCGAGAGAGGGAACACAAGCAGGGGGAGTGGGAGAGGGAGAAGCAGGCCCCCCGCTGAGCAGGGAGCCCAATGTGGGACTCGATCCCAGGACTCTGGGATCATGACTTGAGCCGAAGGCAGACACTTAACGACTGAGCCACCCAGGCGCCCTATCCTTAAGGAATTTAACATGAGAATAAAACTGGACACAACAGGCACCTGTAAGTTCTAAATGAGATGCAGATAATACCACACATCATACGAACTTCACAGCTTAAGGGCAAGTGGGTTTCCCCACGTTTAGGGAAGCTGGTGAAAACTGCATCCCCCAGAAGCAAGACCTAAACTGTGTTTCACAAGAGGATTATGCTTATTCATTTACCTGGTTCTGTGTAATAGTATTATAATATTATATAATTATAATGTAAGTGCTATGTTAATTAACTGAATTTAAATTTAATTTTAAAAATTAAAAAAGCAGTGTAAAAAATTATGTAAGTGCTTCTTGTCAGTCATCATTTTTTCAAACCAACCAAAACAAATACGGAAAACTTAAATATCTTAACAATATAAAAATAATGTAATTTACAAAAATTGGCAGAAATAAAACATTTGGAAAGGAAAAAATTGGAAAAACTGGAAGGAAGTATATAAATGCACTAATTTAATATTGAATAGAAGAGTTTCAATTAGTACCATATGAAGTTGATATACTGAGACATGGATGTTTAGGTAAATTATTTACATTTATAAAGATAATCACAAAAAGAACATGTAACCGAAAGGTATTTGAGAAGGACACTGACATTCTACCCCTCATGTTCACAGAGAGGGCATTTTCCTTACACTCCGTAAGAGGAACTAACAGGAGGAACACTTCCAGCCTTTCTCTGTCCTTCACACTGTCCTGGGAGAGGACTGACTGACGTTCTTCAGGAAAGAAATGCAGCATGCTTACATCAGCTCTTCAGGGCTTTTTATAGTTGTCTTCCCGCCTAGAGCAATAGTCCATGTGGATAAGCTGCCTGCACCTTCAAGGAAAGCCCTACAGTACCTAGATTTGCCTGTAACTTGGTTAGTAAGGCAGCCTAATACAGACATAAAGCTAAAAACATGTTTATTAAATCAGATCCTGGGGATATAGAGGCAAACAAAACAGCCCAGCTCTCACAGAGTCTTCTATGTTCTAGTTTGTTACAAGGCCCACTATGATTAGACATCTAAACTGTAGCCTCCAATCTAGTTTATGGCAGCACTAAAGCTGATACTTTGATTCTCCATCTCTCTTACTTGGTTCTAAACTCATATGGGAAAGAGAAGAGTGTTATTTATTGTCTTTATAATACTCCAATACTAGCGAGGGGAGGGGAAAGATGTTCACTTCTCAATTCTAAGATAAATATATAGTGAACACCTTCTATTTGTCAGGGACCATTCTAGGCACTGGAAGCATACCTGTGAACTAGACAGTCTGTCCTCAAGAAGCTTATATTTGGGGGGATCTTTTCTGCACATTTTGGTTTTCTTTTAAACCTGTACATATACAATTTTATAATAATAATTGTTTTAGTTACTTAGGGAAGGAAGTAACTGGATGAATGGTTAGTATTCAGTAAAAAAAGTGGGAAGTCATAAACAAAGGAAAAGATTCCAAGGCAAGAGTAGAGATAGTGGAGAAAACTGAACAGGAGGGATGAGAAGATTAATTAAATCCAAAAGATGGATTTATGAGTGACATAATCAAAAGTCTATCTTAGGAAAATTAATCTAGAGATGTAGTATAGATTGGAGGGGGAATAGACAAGCAATAGACAGGCAATCATATAACAGTTCAGTGTGAAAAGATGAAGAATTAGGCAGAGTAACAGCAAAAGTTAAAGGAAGAATTAAATCCAAGAGATTTATAAAGACAGCAATATAAGAGATCGAAAAAAATATGAGATTAAAAAAAGTTCTGAGCTTGACTAATAGAAGAATGATAGTAAGAACTCAATAGTAACTGCAGAGGAGATCATTCACTCAGTTTTGATAAAGGTGAATATATATAATTCTATGATATATATAAATTCTGTTATGATGATGGAGAAGCTGAATAATATAAGCTTTTTTTAAATTTTTATTTTTTAAGTAATCTCTCCCCCAATGTGGGGCTTGAACTCATGACCTCGAGATCAAGAGTCACACGCTCTACTGACTGAACCACCAGGTGCCCCAAATAATATAAGTTTAGTACCTTAGTTTTGATTATTACCAAGAGACTCACTCTCATCATTATGCACAGTAGGCATCTGATTAGACTGGCAAGAGAATAGCTAAAATCTTTATAAGTGTAAGATTAGAAAAGTTATTAATTTCTCTGCGCCTTTCTATCTACAAAATGGGGGTAATAGTGGTAGCTATTTTATAAGCAGTTGTGAGAATTTAATGAGTTACTATATGCAAAATGCTTAGAACAGTGGCTGGTACATAGTAAATAAATACACTTTAGCTATTAATGTTACTAATGAAGTTTTATTGTACCTGTAGGTTGTATGAAGAAAGTAACCCAACACTGGACAGATGGATTCTTCTATGCAAGACTTAAAAACAGTAGTGAAATTAAAATATTTAGGAAAGGACTTTATTTCTTCTCTCTGGTCTATAGGAATAACCAGAGTTTTCTAAGCTGCAGTTTGAGGACATTAATATGGCAATGATATAGATATAATACCAAAGTACAGGCAACAAAAGCAAAAATAGACAAATGAGTCTTCTACACAGCAAAGGAAACAATCAACAGAATAAAAAAGCTACAAAATAGGAGAAAAATATCTGCAAATCATTTATCTGGTAAAGAGTTAACATTCAGAATATGTAAAGAATTCCTACACCTCAATAACAAAAAACCCCAAACAACCTGATTAAAAAAATGGGCAAAAGACTTGAACAGACATTTCTCCAAAGATGACATACAAAACAAATGGCCAAGATACATGAGAAGATGCTCCACGTCACTAATCATTAGGAAAATGCAAATCAAACCACAATTACATATCATTTCATATCCATTAGGATGACTGTTATCTAAAAAAACAGAAAATAACATGTGTTACTGAGGATGTAGAGAAATTAGAACCCGTGTGCACTGTTGATGGGAATGTAAAATGGTGCAGCCACTATGGGACAGTATGGAGGGTCCTCAAAAATTAAAAACGGAATTACCATATAAGATCCAGCAATCCCACTTCTGGGTATATACCCAAAAGAATTGAAAATAGTATCTCAAAGACATAATTGCACACAAATGTTCTTTGTAGCATTATTCACACTAGCAAGAGGTGGAAGCAACTTTAATGTCCATTGATAAATTAATGGATAAAGAAAATGTAGACTATTATTCAGTCTTTTAAAAGTAGGAAATCTTGTCATACACAGCAACATGGATGAACCTTGAGGACATTATGCAATATGAAACAAAACAATCACAAAAAGACAGATATTGCATGATTCCATTTATATGAGGTATCTAAAGTTGTCCAACTCATAGAAACAGAAAGTAGAATGTGATTACCAGGGGCTAGGGAAGGGAAAAATGAGCAGTTGTTCAACTGGAAAAGAGTTTCAGTTTTGCAAGATAAAAAAGTTCTGAAGATCTGTTGCATAACAAGTATATATAGTTAACATACTGTACTGTACACTTAAAAAGGGTTAAAATGGTAAATTTATGCTACATGTTTTTTACCATAAAAAAGAAAAGAAATTGGCAATTAAAAAAAAAAGCTAGAAGGAAAGAATAAAGAGAAGGAAGGAGGATACACAGATATACCTTCCTCCAAAGAAAAAAAGAAAAAAAAGATCGAAGGAAGGAGAGATAGATAAGGAAGATAAGTTTAATAATGGGATGGACAGTGAAGGTTGCACAACAATGTAAATGTATTTAATGCCACCGAACTGTATATTTTTAAATGGTTAAAATGGTAAATTTTATGTTATTTATATTTTACCACAATTTAAAACAAAAACAAAAACGAGAAGGTCCCATTTTTCCTGAGAAACCATTCTGAATGATGAAAAACCTACAGACACACCTCAATCTTCTTCCATCGGAGTGATCCTATAAGAACACTTTACTACGGGAAGTCCTTCATGCTTATGGACCATAAAAACACAAATCCACCTACTGAAAAGGAAGCACCAACAGGTCTTCGGATCCACTTGGGTGGCTTCTTCAGAGGCAACACTATATTATGCTGAGCAGTCTGCTGAGGAATTTGTAATGGAGGAAGGGGCTGTCCTGTGCCAAAGGGATCAAGATTTCCAAAAGATGATGAAAGCTAAAAAATATAATAACATGAGAATTTGTAATTTATGAGATTATGTTACATGTTTTCAAGTTATACCCATGAAATATTTTTATCACAATTATCCAATTAATCAGTAGCACTGATTACTGAAGTCATTTTCAAAATAATTAAACAATAAGATGGTATTTTTCAAATGTTATGATTGAAAATTTTAACACTTCCTATTACCTTGTCAACTTGTTTCTGCCTTAAGCCATCTGCGCTCCCACCCATGATAGAATAAACACTGATACGCCCATCAAAGGAAGCAGCTGATAAGACAGCAGGATTTCTGGGACACCACTGAATATCAAAGCACCACTGCGTGTTGGTAGGAAGTTCATATAACACCTAGGCAACAACAACAACAGAAGTCAGAAAATGGTATAGCCACTTTACAGCCAAAACACCCAAATTAATATGATCAACATGTGCAGCTTACTTAAACAATTCCTTTTAGAAAGTATGTTGAGCCAGGAAAAACAACTGTAAAATTTTGTTTAAAGTACAAAAGGAGTCCACTATGGTGATCTATTATGATAAAAATGAATGCTTCTTCAAAATTTTGACCAGATTTAGAATAAGTATGTATTAAAAACTAAGGTTTTTCTGTTTTTATTGAAGTGGTAGTAGCGGGTGCATCTGAAAGACCAGAACAAATAAGAATCAGCTTGTTAAAACTCTAAAAGATAATGGTCTTTTGCCCAAGTATTTTTGCTTGCCAAGATCCAAACAACCATATTTAGGCTATCTGAAGACCACATTTAAAAAATAGCCTCAAGAAGGAAGAATTCACTGAGAAATCTGGTCTTTAGTCAAGCAAAAACATGTATACATCGTTTGTATTACTGCAGAATGGAAACAGATTCAGCATAAACAGTTTAGAAGGAAAATATGGAAAAACTATAAAAAACGGTTGGTATAAAACCTTTACAATGTAATAATTACTGCTAACTCAAAGTTAGTGTGATGATAACTGATGCACCTAAAGAGCATAGGTTTTATGTGTTTTTTTTTTTTAAGATTTTATTTATTTGAGAGAGAGAGAGAAAGGGCACAAGCATGAGCAGGGGGAGGGGCAAAGGGAGAGGGGGAAGCCGACTCTGCTGACCAAGGAGCCTGGCTGAGCAAGGAGCCTGACGGACAAAGGGCTAGATGCAAGGACCCGGAAGCAAGACCTGAGCCGAAGGCAGATGCTTAACTGACTGAGCCACCCAGGCACCCTGGTTTTATGGCTTTAAGAAGTCAAATTATCTTAACGTGGACTTTGTGGGATATTTTAAATGTTTTATTTTATAAGAAAACAGAATTAAGTGAAAAGGTACCTAGCCTACTCATCTTTAAGGCTTAAACTGGTTGATAAGACTCATTATTCATGTTATTTAAACCACTGTTCTATTCCTAATTTGCATTTGAATAAAAAATCTACTAAACTTTTTAGTTGCAGCATGTAATAAAAGTTTATTCCTTCAAAGTCCAAGCACACACAACTAATCATATGCAAAATACATTTTATCAAATCATATAACTGAGAAAATTAGAACAGTAATTTCCATGATTTTGAACTCCCTTGGGAAGGCACAGTATAAAATGCAAGATTTTATTATTTGGTCTACAAACATATGAGGCAAAACTTACTACTTGAATTTTTTTCTCCTATCTCCCCTAACTTTAATGTTTCTATATTCTTCTAGATATCACTGCATCCGAAAACTTTAAACCACAAATCAAGTAACAAAAGTGCTTGTTTCTATTTTAATATTATACATTAAAACCAATTGAAGAGGGGTGCCTGGGTGGCTCAGATGGTTAAGCGTCTGCCTGGGTCCTGGGATAGAGCCCTTCATTGGGCTCCATGCTCAGCGGGAGTCTGCTTCTCCCTCTCCTTCTGCCCCTCCCCCCAACCGGTGCTCGAGCTCTCTTTCTCTCTCTCTAATAAATATATAAAATCTTAAAAAAATAAAATAAAAACTTAAAAAACAAAAATCTATGGCCTCTTGCCCAATACTGAAAAAGAGGGAAATCATTCAACTAAGAAAAATAATTTTTAGAATAGAGATTTTTTTAGCCTATTAATTTAATCCAAAGCAATTAAAAGTAATTAAGTTATATTTATATAACATTGATATTGAAGAAGAGATAAAATTTCCCACATCTAAATTTCTATGGGTAGAACATACGACAAATATTGTAAAGTATATTCCTGCTGTACAGTTCAGAAGAGAAATTAAAAACATACATCTGCTGATTTCCAAAATCAGAGAGGATATTCAGGAATGGTAAAGCAGGAAAAAGACCCAAATCTTGAACACTCCTGCTTTAAAATCACTGATTTTCAGAGATCACATGTTAAATAAATCAAACCAAGTACTTCTGAGTGTAGGTAAACACCTTTTATTAGAAATGGGGGGTAGGGGATGATTACTAATTTCAAATAAGCTATTTCAATGGCTGATTTTCTTGGATAAAACAGGTGAGCTTAAATAATATTACTGATAAAATCTCTCCTAGATTAACATTTCACACATACCTCTATCTCCATGTCCTTAATTATATTAATGCACTAAAGAATCCATATGGAAAATTTCTTATTCAGCTAGAGAATAAATATTATAGTAGCTATAAGTCTGAGAAATATTTCCTCCTTATACCTCTCCTGTGTTTGGGTTGGAGCAGAGAATCTTAGCATCTTTTCCGCAGCTCAGCAGCAATTCAGGATCTGCCATGCTCCAAGCAATTGCCAAAATCCCCCTAGATAAAACACAAGATGAAGAAATTTTTAATCTTGAGAAAACCAAGTCTCCAAATGATTCCTGTCTAGGCTCTGGAGACACATGCTGCTAACAGAAGCATAATTTCATATAATCTTTATGGAAAGCAATTTAGGAATGTGTATGTTCTTTGATCACTATAAAGATGTTCAATATCCTCTCAGAATCAGGAGAACACAGTATAGGAAAAGAACCCAAATTGTTTAAGACTGCCTTTTGTTTCCAATATTTTATTTTTAAAAAGTTAAAATCTTTGTGAAAATTATAAGGACAGTATGATGTACAGCCTTATACTCCTCACTTTGACTCATTGGTTTGGCTACATTTACTTTATGTGGTTTCCTCTCTCTCTCCATATACACATTGACCATTGACCAAAAAAACAATCACAGCATTCTTCTGCATAACCATAATACAATTAAATACTGAAAATATTTATTACTTATATACAATATTTAAAAATATATAGTCCATATTCAAATTTCCCCAATTGCATCAATAATATAATTTCTAACTGCTCCCCCTTTAGAATCGAATCATACATGTCAAGAAAATCAAGTATGTCAAGAATGCCTTTTATTTTTATTTTTTTAAATTTTATTTATTTATTTGACAGAGAGAGACACAGCAGGAGAGGGAACACAAGCAGGGGTAGTGGGAGAGGGAAAAGCAGGCTTCCCGCTGAGCAGGGAGCCTGATGCGGGGCTTGGCATGACCTGAGCTGAAGGCAGACGCTTAATGACTAAGCCACCTAGGATCCCCAAGAATGCCTTTTAAAGAAATTCATACATATTTAATATCACATTTTAAAGAACATTTAGGTTCTTACTAAGTATTAAAGACCAAAAAAAAAAATCACAGAATTATAGAGCAGGAAAGGATCTTAAATATCATCTAATCCACCTCTTGCATATATTATTAGGAGAAAATTGAGAAATCAGAGAGTTGATTTGCTCCTGCAACTCAGTGTGGTCTTCTGTCTTGCTAAATTATGATCACACCTAAAATTGGCAGTAGAATATAGAGTTAGGAGCACAGATTCTGGGATCAGAATGTTTGGGTCAGAAGTCAGCACTTGACTAGTTATATGACCTAGGTCAAGTTTACCTTGCTGAGCTTCAATTTCCAATTTGTAAAATGGGTTAATAGTATCTACACCATAGGCTTGTTATGAGGATTAATTGACTTAATATTTAAAGTTCTTGTACACTTTACATGTTATACAAATGTTAGTTGTCCTCCCACTATAATATAAACTCCCCAAAGGCAGGGATTTTTACACCACTGAATCTTAGTACAGAGCACATGTTCAATAAGTATGTGCCGAATGAATGAACAAAACCTTATCTAACATGGAAAAAATATTAAAACTTATCAGAATCATCCCTTCTTCACTAAAAAGCTGATTGAAGCATAACATCTAAATAGGATTACATTTTTACTGGACTCTTTTCTCCTTTATAAGAAGCTAAAGGAGAGGTCATAAACTTTAAGACTTCTTAGTGTGCAAATCCACTACCCAGTGGGAAAACAGGATTTAAAGCTTTAGTCTATATATCCCTAAATAAGAAAGAAAGCCCAAAAGTACTCAGAAAATATTGTAACATTAAAAGGGATTTACTTCTTGTTTCAAACTGTCGAACAAATACATATAAACTCCCTGGGTACCTGAAAATCAATGTTAGGAAACATGCCAAATTATAATTAAATTTAATGCTACCGAACCTAACATGAGAAAATTTGCATATCTTTTATTTTTTTTAATTTTTAAAAAAATTTTTTTAATTAATTTCTACACCCAAAGTGGGGCTCGAACTCACAACCCCTCACTCTATCGACTGAGCCAACCAGGCACCCCACTCATATCTTTTTAGAGAATCTGCACATTTATTACAATTAAAAGCAGGGGCACCTGCATGGCACAGCTGGTTAAGGGTCCAATTCTTGGTTTCAGCTCAGGTTGTGATCTCAGGATTGCGAGAACAAGCCCCAAGTTGGGCTCTGTGCTCTCTACTTGAGATTCTTTCTCCCTCTCCCTCTGCCCCTCCCGCTTGTGCTCTCTCTCTCAAAAGTAAGTAAATCTTAAAAAAAATAAAAAATTAAAAATTAAAATAAAAGCAGAATAATCTCAATTTCTATGCTTTTAAATTAAAATAGGAACTTAGAAATAGGGGCGCCTGGGTGACTCAGTTGTTAAGTGTCTGCCTTCGGCTCAGGTCATGATCCCAAAGTCCTGGGATCGAGCCCCACATCAGGCTCCCTGCTCCACGGGAAGCCTGCTTCTCCCTCTCCCACTCCCCCTGCTTGTGTTCCCTCTCTGGCTGTGTCTCTCTGTCAAATAAATAAATAAAATCTTTTAAAAAAAAAGAAATTTAGAAATAAAACAAATTTTTTAACTGTTGCTTGTCATTGAATGTTATGGAGTATTTTGACCCTAATAAAGATCAAACTGGATAATGTCAAGAGTAAAGTGTGGTGATATACTGGAATTTAATCTATTAATTATAATGTGAAAAAAGTAGTGGAATATCCTTTACCACATTTTTGTACTGTTAGGATATGAATTGGCTACCATTTTTGGGAACAGAAAATCAGATGATTATTGCTTCAAATAAAAATCATTTATACTAACTTTTACAAGATAAGAGACAAAATAGACTCCTGAATTTAAAAATAATTATCTGATAATTCAAAATAATAAGTAAATGTGTTTTCAAAAATAAACAAATCAAGTTCCTTGGAAGAGCAGCATGATACCTGGCATGGTTTTCCAAGACACGGAGTGGAGAGGAAGCAAAGCGAAGATCCCACATCTGGATCACTGGTAATCTATCATCCTCAGAGGCAAGCACCATCTGAGTCGCAACATCAGGATGCCACGCCAACCCAGAGCAATGCATCTGCAGATAGTTAAGGCTCACAATGTATCAATCCTATTACTTTATGAAGAGCCAAAATGAGCTTGAGGAACATGCCTTTGTTGAAACAAATAGTAGAAAACATCGGTTCAGGCTTAGTTTATTAAAAAACAACAAAAAACAAAACCTAAAACTATTAAATTTTGAATCCTGACAGCTATCTCCAGAGCCTGCATTTGGAGCCTTCAAGATATGATGTCTCTTTAAAACTATTAAATTTTATTAAACAGCCTTAAACAGTACTCTTAAAAGTAAAAAGTTTAAATGTTTTCAGTTCATCTCAGGGTCTTGGGATTGCTCCCACGTTGGGCTCCACACTCAGTGGACAGTCTGCTTCTCTTGTCTCTCTCCCTCTGCCCCTCCCCCATGGAGCATGCTCGCTCTCTCTCTCTCACAAATAAATAAATAAATCTTTTTTTTAAAAGATTATAACAAAAAAAAATCCACACCTTTCCTCTATTTTGTCAAAAAAAATCAAGACAAAACGTCTAAAGCAACAGCTACCATTTAAATTTTCACATGAAATAAATTAACAGTATTACTGAGAATTACCTGGACATTCATATCCTATTAAATGTTCCAGAAGATAATGGAAATGCTTATTGTATGCTTTATTCAATTAAAACTTGTCTTAAAATTCCTAATTCACTGAAAAACAATATCCTGAAGAAATATTTTTTTAAATAGTTTTTTTGTGGTTATTGTTAAATTATATATGTATTCTCTGATTTAGGCAAACTTGTTTTTAAAAATGTCAAACTAAACAATGTAATTAAAAACTAACAAAATAAGGCCCTTAATTATGTCTAAAATATTTTATAGCACATTATGACATAGTATTAAGGAATTTGTAAGGTCAAAAATTTAATGTGTTATACAACTACATCTACTAGGCAAACAGAGTATTAGCTCACTTTAGCAGTACCTAATCAGAAAAGATGAAGCCAGGAGTTTGGAAACTACGAGTTAACAGTCATAAAATTATTAGCTGGAAAAACGTGTACATTCTAGAGAAAGCTAAAAAGTTGCTATAATGCTTTGAAACAGCTAGTAAAGTAAAAACAACCAGTACATCATGGAATAAGGTATTTAATTAACAATCTCTCCCTTCATCATTAACAATATCCAATATGGTTTATTAGAAATTTTTTTATCTTCCCCAAGGAAAAACCTCATTCCAACATGCTTGGTCCATGAAAAGACAGGATTTGACTTTACAAAAATTTGATTTGTTGTCAGCACTGACAAACAATATAGAAATACGTACAGCAGAAACATAGCATGTTTCTGTATATGACAAATCAATCATATACTTACCCTGTTACTATGGTCACTAACTTTGATGATAGGTTCATTTTTTCTAAGATCCCATACAGTGGCCCGGCCACTGGGACTGGCTGATGCCAAAATATGCTGAACTTGTCTGTTCCATGCAATGCAGCTGATATCTTCTGGGGGCTAAAAGGAAGAAACTACTAAAAACCATTTCTCAGTTATGATCAAATTTAAGTACAAAATCTGATCCTTCTTTTTAAAAAATGAATTAATTAAAATCTGATCTATTCCACAAATTTTTTTATATTCATAAGTTCTCAATAAATATAATACAATTTAGAGCTCAGGTATGTGCCAAATTCAAGTATTTTATCTTGTTTAATATTGTCTCATTCACCAGCATTTATTAAACTCTTGCTACAAATCAAGCACTTTTTCTTAATTTGCAACTGCCACAAGGTAGATAATGAACTACAAAGTAGACATTGATAAGTATGATGGACAACCAGGCAGAGCAAAACTTACAGCCTAGGGGCGCCTCGGTGGCTCAGTGGGTTAAGCGTCCAACTCTTGGATATCAGCTCAGGTCATGATTTCAGGGTTCTGAGATTGAGCCCCATGTCAGGCTCCGCACTCAGCGGGGAGCCTGCTTGGGATGCTCTCTTTCCCTCGCCCTCTGCCCTTCACCCCCATGTGCTCTCTCGCTCTCTCAAATAAATAAATAAAATCCTTAAAAAATAAATAAATAAAAATAAATGGTAGATCATATGCTATCATTATACTACCTCTAAGATGGCCAGAATGTTGGGGCCCAGTATAATGGCTACTCAATTTGAGTAGTCTATATAACACAAACTTCAAGGAGGCAAGTAGAAGACTGTTCTTTCTTAACTTACAGAAATACATAGGAAAGGGGTTGAGTTGTTTTTTTAAAAAATAAGTTTCCTTTCTAGTCTATGATTTTTATTCTAAGGTGAGATATCGTCAAAATACTATACAACACAAAATATTATACTATATAAAATACTGTATCCAAAAAATTATCAGACTTGTCTATTTTATTCATTACTATATGTCTAGTACACCAAACAGTATCTGGTGGTAGGCACTGAATAAATATTTGCTGTTGAAGGACTCATTGATACTTTGAAAAACACATTTACTAATACTTTGCTATACTGAAGGAAAATCAGTAACATCTAAACACTGATTTTAAACAAATATATTTTGTGTGAAAAAAATGAAATAAATAAGTGTTGAAGAACCAATTTTGGTTCTTCTGATTACATCAAAATCAATGCAATACCTGTGTTTTGGCTCCTGGTGTCATTGGAGTTGCAAAATTGTTGAGATCCCAAATGTAGATTTCAGATTCATTAGCACCAGAGGCTACCAGATTAGTCTGCAATAAGAAATAATTAATAATGAAGTAGCATTTATGAATAATTAAGAGAACTCTGAGTAACTGTTCAGAGATAGCTCCATCAGTTTTAGGGTATACAACTTTTCTATTTAATTAAAAAAACAAAACTCATGAATTCCTAAATGCTATGGATAATAATCTGAAACTGCAATAGTTTTTCAGAGAAGCATGTTATAAAATTCTATTTCACTAAAAAGACAGTAGGTCTACTGGCATTATAATACAAGAGATTAAAAAATAATTATATGGATAAATTCTTAAACAATCATGCAACCATGTGGGGATTATCATTTGTACAGGAAGGGGATCTGATTGTGAGAGAGAGACAAAAATAGGCAAAACCAATTATTGCTTTCAGACAAATAACTGAATCTTAAAATAATGGCATCTATCTCTGGATACTTCAAAGTCAGCTTCTGGAAAATCTCTTGTCTTAAATCCTCATGTCTTTCTAGTTCATTTACACTCAATCTTGTTCTGGATGGCAGTATTTCTAGGTTCTCTCTGTTGCATACCTTTAGGGTCAAAAAGACCCTAAAACTGTGATAGGAAGTACAGGAAGATAATGGGTTTCATATATTGGCTTTGATCCTTTATTATTCACTCTCATAAATTCTTCTCTGATCAACTGACATATAACTATGAAAACAGAGGAATTCTACGGTTGTAGTCACCTATAACACAAGACACTAACCAAGAAGCAGCTGCTGTTTAAACTAACAAAGGAACTAACTATCTAATCTAAAGAGTAGGCACCATAAACTATGGAAAAGAAGTTCAGGTTGTATTTCTATACCCTAAGTATTTATTTATAATATAAGAAAAATAACTATTTTAAACTTTGAGATAATATTCATGTTTTGGTTGTTATGCTCTAATATCCTATTAACTCAAGATCTTTGCTAAACTATACATTTATATAATTAATATTCAGTAATGTTTATGATGGCAAAAGTAGACTGCCTGACTCTTCGTTGTCTGATCCCCTCCATGGAGTTATTATCATTTACCTTGATCCCAACTCTGAACCCTCCATTCTTCAAAAAAATACACTCACTCATCAACCTGCACAGGCACACATTTTTAGCTTTTAATTCCAAGACTGAGGCATAGCAGATTCATATGCTTATTTCAAATAAGCAGTACATATCTCAAGAATTATGAATAAACGTCAAAAGTCTAACCTGGAAAATATTCACATCCAACGCTCTTACTGGGCCGGTATGCTTGTCATTTTGGGCAATCACAACTTCCTTGTCTCCAGCTATAATTTTAGAAGGATCATAAAGAATAATATTTCCATTTTCACCACCTGCAATCAGAACTCCAGAGACATTCCCTTTGGAATCCATCTTATGAGGCCCCCAAATCAACTTGTGGTACCTTTAAGAGAAAATGAGTAAATAACTGATTTAAGTCAAATAGTTATAGAAAAGCATTTGAAATTATAAATTCAATTCCATATGTTTTCATAAATAAAAACATTGCTTCTCCTCTATTCTTGGTAACCGTGCATGACTTGGTGAAATGGCATTTTAGTGTTTATTTATATTCATATGTGCATATTTGATTTTATAATCCTGAAGAGTAAAAGCTTTCTGGTAGAGGTAATATGTCAAAAAGTATACTTGATTTGTGTGTCAAAAGATATGGACTTAAGAATGGTTTTACCATTTAGAAACTGTGAGACCCTGGACAAGTTACTGAATCTTCCCAAGCTGCTTTTGGTTCATCTGTAAAACAGCTCTAACCAACCACTTCCCTTGATATTATTTGACTATAGAAGTAGTCACTGACAAGAGGTCTGTTAAGCAATAGAGGCGTTAAAGGAGGTATATAACATTTTCTAAGAAAAGTAATGTATTCCAACAGTGGAAAAGTGACATCAAAATTATGTTTATTATGATAAGTACCCCCACTGGTGGAGAATAAAGATTTGAAATATGAAGGTAGCATGGAAGTATACAATGACACAAATGGTGGTGAGTAGGAAAACTGACAGACAAAAGGTATTTGAGGTTCCCACCACAATGGGAGAGCTCTGAAAACTGTGAGAGGTCCCATGAGACTCCATGATTTGAGCTATGTGCTGTTTGCTAGAGTACAATCTCTTCACCAAAATCTGCCAAGCTACTGAGACAGTAAAGCATATTTTACTACACAAATGAAAGTGTCTTTTTTCTGCATTATGATAGGATGTTAAGTACTTGGAAAGATGACCCAAATACCTACTGTACCAGAAATCATGTCAACAAAAATCTTTGTGAAATATATTTCTAAATATAGATAAGTACAATAAAAAAATAACCTACCAGAGATAATCACTTCTAACACCTTAATATTCATCCAACTACTCCTTTTTTTAAGCCATACCTATCCTTTTTTTGTAAACAGTTGAGAAAACGGAGATAAAAGACAGTATGCCTACTATATCACGAGGAAAAAAACTACTAGAAAATTGAGCCTCTCCTTCCTATCCTACACATGTCAGTTGGCAATAAAGAAGTCAATAGAACATACAGACCCTTCTTTTACTTCCATAGAAATTCACTCATATACTTTTTCACAAAATATTTCATGTCATTGATGGTATTCCTTGCAGTTTCTAATAACATATTTATAGACAAACTAGGCATCAACCACAATAACCACAACCATAAATAATGTGAATTTAATATTCATCAATCTCATACCTATGAGAAGAAGAGAAGGTGGCACAAGATTTCATATCCAAGGATGGATCAGAAAGATCTAATTCAAATATTTCAAGGGAAGCACTGGTACTAAACGTTGCATCCAATTGTTGAGCAGATGTTCCTACGGAAAATACATTTATGGTAACTACAATGCAAAAATAAAAGACTCAGAGAAAACCACACAAAACAGAAATTAAATGCATGTTTTCCAATGATCTCACTCATGAATGCTCCATTACTGACTAACACCTCAGGATGCATGCCATTGAACAGATGCTTAAATTACTATAGCAATGAGATTCTGATACAAGGCTCAGAGATGATGTTTGTAAGAGCAGATAGTGCAGATAACTTTTTAAACCTGTAGATATTTTAAAAGCTCTCTGTAAAAACAGTCTCTTGATTTACTATACCTGCTTATAATCATAAATGATGTAACTCTCTTTTTGTATAAAAATGCTAGCATCAAAATTGTTCTTCAACTGATTAACTTTTTTTTACGTTATCTTTTGTGCTTAATACTGGAGGAATAAAGATGAAACATAATTCTTATGAAGTGAGGAAGACACTATAAATGTAATATGATTTTTTTTAAGGATTTTATTTATTTTATTTATTTGAGAGAGAGAGAGTGTGTGTGCGCGTGCGCACATGAGTGAGGGAGGGGCAGAGAGAGAGAGAGAGAGAGCGAAAAGCAGACTCCCTGCTGAGCAGGGAACCCAATGTGGGGCTCAATCCCAGGACCCTGGGATCATGACCTGAGCCAAAGGCAGGTACTTGACTGACTGAGCTACCCAGGCACCCCTATTATGATTAATGCTATGATGAACAAGATGCTAAAGGGAACAAAGAGGAAGGTCATTAAACTCAGCTGAAAGGGAGGATGTAGTTACCTCGTTAGAGAAGGAGAAGCTTTCTAGAAGAGATGAAGCTCGAAATGAGTTTTAAAGGACAGGTATGAATAAACCAAATGTGGAAAAGAAGAAATTAAGTGACTCATACTATCTTCTCTCTGTTGAACTTACCTGTAGCTAGGTAAATGGGATGATTCTGGGCAGGGCTCCAGGCCTGCATGGCCGTACGGTCTATTTCCTTTAACTTCATCCTGCTAAAGAGAATATTTTACATAGAAATATATTGAACATGTAACAGAGAACACAAACATTTTTTTTTTAAAGATTTTATTTACTTGAGAGAGAGAATGAGAGAGAGAGCACATGAGAGGGGGGAGGGTCAGAGGGAAAAACAGACTCCCCGCTGAGCAGGGAGCCCGACGCGGGACTCGATCCTGGGACTCCAGGATCATGACCTGAGCCGAAGGCAGTCGCTTAACCAACTGACCCACCCAGGCGCCCAGAACACAAACATTTTTTACACAGAAATATACTGAACCAACCACTACTTCATTAGTCCAAATGCCAATAAATCAAACTGGTTTAGGTATCATTTGGTGGAAGAGTCAATATTAGAAAGAAGAAAAACTTGTTAAATTATTTTGAGACAAACATACGGCTTTTCTAATTGTTTACAAATTATAGTCCTTCAGCTTAAAAATCAGTCTGGAAAAAAACTTAAAAAAAAAACACCACAATATAGGGTAGTACCTGAGGGATTAATTTTCCTACACAATATACTTCTCAGGTGAGGATGGGTGACAATGTATCAGAGTAAGAGAAAGCACACAATAAACAAGGTACATCTTCCTGGATCAGGATTACTAAGTGACTAAGAGCAGTTTTAAAAATTAATTTTAAAGTCTAATTACAGAGAAGAATATAGTAAGCCTACAGATTTTAAAGATAAATTTAGCACAAATTTTAAGAAGCTGGTCCCTCTAAACTACAATTCCACACACTAGTTTATATATTCTCTGTTAAAGTTACTCCGGTATAAAAATTCAGCAAGTACTGTGTTGTACCTTTAAAAAAAAAAACTTTGTTATTGTACATAAATACATTCACATGGCACAGTATTCCACTGTAAGATGTACCATAATTTACTTACTTAGTTCACTACTGGTGAACACGTGAGTTGTTTTTAATCTTTTGCTATTTTTACAAACAATGCTGAAATAAATAGCCATATCTACATGTTATTTCATTCGTGGGCCAGAATAGCTATAAATTTCCAGAAGTAAAACTGCTGGGTTAAAGATAAATCCAATTTTAATTCGGATGGTTATTGTCAAGTTGCCCTCCAGGATATCTGTACCTTTTCACACTCCCCTACAGCCTCACTAGAGTAATGCTTTTAGATTTTTACCAATGATAGGTGAAAAATGTTTACCCTGAGTAGTTACAATCTGCATTTCTCATGCCATAATGTTGAGCATCTTTTTTATATGGTTATGGGTCATCCCTATTTCCTTCTCTGTCACCTTTTCTGTCTATTCTTGTCTATGTTACTTGCCTATTTTGTTATTGGGTTGTCAGACTTTATTTTTTTTGGTTATGGGTTTGTTTTTTACATTTCACAAGATTTTGATTTTTTAAAAGTAGATTTTATTTACCAGAGCAGTTTCAGGTTCACAGAAAAACTGAGTGAAAACTACAGAGTTCTCACATACCTCCCTACCTCGTCCTGGCCCCTCCTCCGCTCACCCCTACCCCAGCCTCTCCCACCATAAACTGTCCGGCACCACAGGGGTACATTTGTTGCAATCCAACCTATACTGACACGTCACTATCAAGCAAAGTGCATGATTTTCTTTAGAGTTCACTCTTTGGGTTTTCTATGGGTTTTGACAATCGAATAATGACACATTCACCCACCCAAATCCACCCATCCACAGAGTATCATTCAGAAGTTTTCCTGCCCTAAAAATTCTGTGCTCCACCTCTTTATCCCTCTCCTCCATCCCTCCTCCTCCTTCCTGGCAACCACTGATCTCTTTATTCTCTCTACAGTTTTGCCTTTTCTGGAATGTTATTTAGTTACAATTATATAGTACATAGCCTTTTCAAATTGGCTTCTTTCACTTAGCAATAGGTATTTAAAATTCCTCCCTTTTTGTGATTTGGTAGCTCGTTTCTTTTTAGCACTGAAAAATATTCCACTGTATGGATGTACCACACTTTAATAGCCAAATTTATCATTTTAAAAAATGGTTCCTGAATTTTGATTAGGTAGAAAGACCTTCTGCATGCCAAGATTATGAAGAAATTCACCCATATTTTTCTTCTAAGCAAAATCACTTGTGACTTTTTCTTTTCATTTAAATTTTGACTCAGGACCTGGAATACATACTGGTATACAATGTATGTTCATAGTTTTTTTTTCTTATTACAATGAAACCATTTATTGAAAAGTCAATTTTACGATATCACTTTTACCATGTACTAAATTCCTATATTTAGGTTTATTTCTGGATTTACTATTTATGTTTATATTCCTTTTTTTTTTTAAAGATTTTATTTATTCATTTGAGAGAGAGAGAGCACGAGACGGGGAGGGTCAGAGGGAGAAGCAGACTCCCCACTGAGCAGGGAGCCCGACGCAGGACTCGATCCCAGGACTCCAGGATCATGACCTGAGCCAAAGGCAGTTGCTTAACCAACTGAGTCACCCAGGTGCCCCTATGTTTATATTCCTGTAGGCATTAGGATGTAGGTTAGGATCTACATTCCTGTATATATTTAGGTATATTTCTGGATTTCCATTCCTTATGTCCATTTATTTACATGCTAGACATTCCACTTTTTAAAGTTTATTTATTTAAGCAATCTCTATACCAAATGTGGGGCTTGAACTCACGACCCTGAGATCATTCCAATTTTAGTATATGTGCTGCCGAAGCGAGCACAACCTTGAGATCAGGAACCAGCCAGGAGCCCCAAACACTCTACTGTTTTAAATACTTAGGCTTTTTAGGAGTATGATTCCCATAACCCTTATCCATTGCTTCTCTCCCATACTATTTTCCTTGCTATCACTGTTTATTTTATTACATAAACTTTGGAATAGTTTTTGTCTAATTCCAGAAAAAAGAGAATGTTAATATTTTTATTGAATCTGCATCAAATTACTGTATTAATTTATGGAGAAACTGACACAATGTTCAATCTTTCCAATGAGAACATGTTGTCTTTTAAGCCTTATCTTTCAGTATTATTTTAAATTTTTTGACATTTGGGTTTGTTTATTCCTACGTTATTTTATCTTTGGTTTGTTTGTAAATGTGGCTCACCCCCACCCCACACCCATTACATAGACTGTATTCCTGGTACTGTTATACAAAGGCTAATAGTATTTGTACTACCATATTAAGCAGTAGTGATAACAGTGTGATTTCTTGTCTTGTTCCTTTCTTTAGTGGGAAAGCCTATTATATCACCATGGGACATGACTTTAGGTTTTGAAATACACATATATATGCACATATATAAATGTATATAATGTAAGGAAATTAGTCATCAATTACTGTTTTATTGAACGCTATTTATACTGGGTTTTGAATTTTGTCAAATGCTTTTCATGAGGTAGTCAGAATGACCACAGATTCTTCTTCTTAGGTTTATCAATAAAATAGATTATACTAATAGATTTCCTATTATGGACCATCTTTTTCTACCCTGAATAAACTTCTCATGATATATTATTCTACTAATGTGAGGCTAGATTCCATTTGTTTAACAGAGTTTTGCTTCTGGAGTTGTAAGACTGCATCTATACTTTTCTTCTTTTATGCAATCATCAGGTTTTGATATCAATATTATACTCGCTTCATAAAAAATGCAGAATTTTTTTTTTTTTTTAGACTTTATTCATTTAAGAGAGAGCACGAGAGGAGGGGAGAGGAAGAGGGAGAAGCAGACTCCCCCCCCACTGAGCAGGGAGCCTGACACGGGGGTTGATCCCAGGACCCTGAGATCATGACCTGAGCCGAAGGCAGATGTTTAACCATCTGAGCCACCAAGGCGTCCCCCAAATGTAGAAGTTTTCCATCTTTCTCTATGCCCTGAAACAGTTTCAACAGAACTGAAATTATTGGTTCTTCAAAGATTTAGCAGAATTCTCTCATGAAACATCTGGGCCAGATGCTTTTTGGGGAGGAGTTCCTCCTCTGCTAATTTTCTCTATTTCTTCTATTGAAATTGATCTATTGAATTTTCTTTATTCAAGGTCATTTTTTGTAAATTATATTTTCCTATGATAATTCTTCAATTTTTTTTTTACAGAATTTCTCATTTTTTAAGACTTGAACAACCAACACTCAGGAATCTTTAAATTTTGCTATTTATAATTATTAGTCTTCATTTATTGCATATATTTTTGTTTCCCCTACCCTCCTCTTTAATAATTGATTAGCTTAACTAGCGATTTGTCTGTTTATTTTCAAACAGCCAATTAGTTCTGCTTTGTTTTCTAATTAATTTTTTATTTTTAATTCCTTCCTTCTACCTTCTTTTCATTTACTTAGATCTTTTTCTAACTTTTTGAGTTAACTGCTTAACCCACTCATTTTTATTATTTATTGGTATAAGTATTTAAAGCTTTGAATTTCCTCTGAGCACTGCTTTAGCTAGATTCCATATATTTCTAGTGTTCTCATCACTACAGTCATCTATATATTCTACAATTTTCATTTGTATTCTCCATTGATCCAAGAGTTGTTTGAACTTAATATGCAAGTGCATTGTGATTTTTCTATACTGTTTCTCCTTTCTAAAATGTATTGAAGTTTTCTTTGGGGGCTATAGAGAAGTCTTTGTAAATGAGATCTAAAAAGAAGGGGTACACTGTTTTCAGGGTCAAGTTCAATATATATTAATCAAATCTACCCTATTGACTAAATTGTTTGGTCATCTAGAGTCTTACTGCTTTTCCCTTTAATCTTCCCTGGACCAAGGATACTGAATCAAAAGTCACTTACTACTAATGCATTTATGCCTATTTTTCCTGGTACCTCCTGAAAGTTGCTTTATGAAAGTTACTTTGTATTTAATATAGTTACTTGGTTGACAGATATTCATAATGTTAAATGTTTACTGTCAAATACACATTTTAACTTTGTATTCTTCTTCATCTTAAGTAAGCCTTTGGGCCTGAATTTCATTTTGTCTCATATTAAGACCAATACCCTAGCTTACTTTTTATGTGCCTTCATGT